TTCATCTTGGTTGAGCCGGTCACTCAGAGCGGCTAGCTCGGGGTCAGACAAATGACCTCCCTCATCGTCTTGAATCATGGTCTTCACATTGTCGAGAACATCGCTTTGCGCGACGTAAAGAGTGATGGTCTAGCCAGGAAGAGTGTTGACGAAAATCTGCATCCCACCACGGAGGCGAAGTACCAAGTGAAGAGTGGGCTCCTGCTTCCGACTGCGTGCCGGCGAAAATCAAACGCTGCTGGTCTTGGGGAATACCCTCCTTGTCTTGGGCAGCAGCCTGCCTGTTGTCGTCCTCATCAGCTTCGCCATCACCACCGGTAGTATACATGTACATGTAGGTAGCGGGTCGCTTGGAATCGCCATCGAAGTCTCCAGTGAGTGCTGTGCGGAGAGAAGGGTGATCCACGCTAGCACCCTGACTGTGCTGCAAGCTAATAAGCAGAGCCAGGCCCAGGACGGCAAGAAACATGATTCTCATATTGATTCGTCGCAGGGAGCTGCAGCGGGTTGAGCCATGGGGGTCTGGGGTCGAATCACGCTGTTTTATTTAAAACTACACCGCTGCCACCAATGTAATGGGTAGCCGAGTGGTAGGCGCGGTGCAATTAACAATAATTACTTTTATTCTACTTTCAGGTACACACCTGAGATATAATCGTTAATGAAAGAAGGAACGGCAAAATAACTGACTTTCTCTCCGGTGCTCACCTGGAGGTTGAATAGCTCGTTATTATCAAAATCTCATCTTCATCAAAACAGAAATGCGCAGCCGCTTTTATGCAGCAGCTGCCGTACGCTTACATACGGAGATACACTAAATATACATCAGGCAAAGCTCCGTATTAGTTCCGTACTGCTTCCGTATTGGTCGGGCAGGGATACTACACTGTCTTGTCCTGTTGAGCTAAATCGCGTAGACTTGTTGACACCGTGATGCAGAGCATAGCTGTTCCGCAAGTCAGATAAGTAGTGATACTGAGGGTCCCTGGCACTTAGGTCAATATTCACATTAAAGTCACCACAAACGATAGCATTTGGCTGTGGCCTTAGAGCAGCGCAAAGATGTTCGTCTAGCTTGTCCCAGTAACCCACAGGTTCAGATGGAGGGCGGTAGATCGTTCCAACAAGACAACTGCGGGGCCTGCAAGCGACTTCACACCAGCAACTTTCCACACCATCAGTTGTTATGTCGTCTCTTGGTTTTACCGGAAGACATGACTTCCAGTATATGCAAACTCCTCCTCCTACTCGACCACTACGGTCTCTGCGTGTTACACTATATCCAGTCAGGGCTATTTCTTGGTCCGAAACAGCGGCGTCGAGCCAGGTTTCGTTGACACAGACTATATCCGGGGCGTTGAGTTGTTGTGTGAGCAGTAGGATGTCATTGAGTTTGTTACGCAGGCTCCTGATGTTGAGAAATAGAACGCGAAGTGCACTTGGGTGGGTAGGAGAAGGTAGTGGAACTGACGGACTAAATGAGTCAGCAAGGGGGTTAAGATTGGGAGTTTTATTAGTTTGTCGTCCAGAATCAGGAAGGAATGGTGGCGCAAGTGGATTGAGCGACGCACTCAGTTCTCTTGAGTGATGCGGTCTGATTTGAAGCGCCATTCACGAACCGAAATGCCACTTGGCCAGAAGTCTAGACTCTGGACCTTCTGCCAATGCTCCTCCGAAATAACAAGGTGGGCATACGCCAGACCAAAATACCGTGCCGCAGATACTGAGCATTTGATGACAGTCACACTGCGGTCCTCGCACCATTTAGCGATTGAACCTGCCGAGCAGTTGTTGTTGTTGATTTTTATTTTGCTTCGCAAGGCCAAACGGGCAATGGTGCCCAATTCTATGGAAGCGAATTTCAAAAGGGAGAGAGTTACGGGGAGAGAGAGAGAGAGAGAGAGAGAGAGAGAGGGGGGGGGAGGGAGGGAGGGAGATGATAAGCAATTTTGTAGCGTCAACAGAGCGATTTTGCAGTGTCAATAGAGCGATTTTGAAGCGTCAACAGAGGGAACACAAAGAGTTCATAAGCGCACAAGCACGCAGAGAAGAGTAAATGACGTGGTGTGTGGACGGGAAAAGTCAGACAGAGCATTCATTGCAAGGTGTAGGGGATGGAGGCAAGCTTAAATTGCTGGGCAGCCTTGATCTCCCTTACACTCCTTGGGAGAGCGTTCCAGGCCAAGGCTGCCTGAAAGGCCAGGCGAGATCTGCCGGCTTCTGACTGTGCCGAGGGGACAGTGAGGCCCCTGGAAACCTGGTGCCGGGTGGTGCTGCCAGCTGATGGTGAGAATAGGTCCTGGAGGACACTGCTGGCTTTCCCATTGACACAGCGCCACACCAGGACAAGCCGCTTCTGGGCGTAGCACTCCCGAACTCTGTACAGGGACATCCGTTCGAGCAGAGGCTGAGCCGAGGTGTGAGGCGGCAAACCGTATACCGCTCTCGCCGCTCGGTTCTGCAGGACCTGAAGGCGATCAAGCTGCGAAACCTTGAGGGAGGAAGAGAAGGCGTTAGACCCATATAGGAGGTCAGGCATGATGACTGACCTCACATACTGGATGCGACTACTGAGGCTCAGACATCTGCGGGACCGCCACAATGCTCCAATCTTCTGCACAACTTTCTTCGCCATCGCGTCAACATGGGGGTCCCACTTCACAGCGGCGTCAAGGGTCACGCCGAGGTACCTTGCTGTTGGGCTCAGGGGAAGCTCTGTCTGGTTGCAGCGGACAGCGACATGCTGACCCGCATTGCGTTGTGGTACAACTGACAGGACCTGGCTCTTCTTGTCATTTAGTAGCAGATGTCGATGCTTGAGCCAGTCAGCGACGTTGGTGACGGCCCCTGACAGGCAGGCTGATGTGGCTAGCACTGATTTTCTGTGGCAGTGCACTGCAATGTCATCGGCAAATTGCAGAGATGGAGCAGGATGGGCTATGGTAGGGACATCACGGGTGTACATGCTAAACAGGATCGGTCCTAGGACCGAGCCCTGAGGTTACTCAGGTACACCAGATGAGCACTTAGCAGCAACACTGTAGGTGGGGCCAATGCGCACTTGCTGGGTTCGATCGCTTAAGTAGCTGCAGAACCAGCGAAGGGAGGCATTGTCCAGGCCAAGATCGAATAGGTCCCGGACCAGTTGGCTGTGATTGACCTTGTCAAAGGCTTTTGACATGTCGATTAGGCAGACGCCTGTGGTCAACTTGTCGTCCCGGGCCTTTAAGATGGCATCTGTTGCTACAACTAGGGCGTCCTCTGTGGAGTGCTCACGGCGGAAGGCAAACTGAGTCGGTGGTATGCACATGATCGCTCCAGATGTGCAACAAGTTGCTTCTGGACTATCTTCTCGAGTAGTTTGGATACGATCGGCAGGAGCGACACAGGACGATAATTTGCAGCTACCGATGGATCGCCAGCTTTGAAGAGAGGGCTTATTACAGCATGTTTGAAAGCCAGAGGGACTTCACCATGCCTCAGCGATGAGCTGAAGAGCACTGAAAGCGATGGAGCCAACAGGTCAGCGCAAGCACGTAGCAGACACCCAGGAATCCCATCACTGCCTGTGGCTTTGCAGGGATTTATCCGTTCCAGGAGGTGCTTGACCTCATCTGGGGTAGTTGACTGGAAGGTCAGCATTGAGCCTTGCGGCTGTGGACCAATGGGAATCTGGAGCTGCGCCGGACGGGACGGATCATGTACAATGCTGTGGAAGGCATCCGAGACTTCTGTGATGTCGCACGTTGGCTGATGATGTTGACGAGAACGGCTAGTGACAGAGTTGATCACGGACCACATCTTCCGCAGGTTGGAGGAGTGATCACGACACTGCTGTTGGAAATGCTGATTGCGTTTTCGCCTGTAAGCATTTGAGGCTTCTGCACGGGCTCGCTTGTACTCCTCATGTAGATGCACGTTAGTCTTATCTCGTAGCCACTTTCGGTGAAGTCTATTCTTGCGCATGTTCAGTTGGAATAGATCACGGTCGGACCATGGCGGGGGAGTCCTCCTGGTGGAGATGCTGACTTCACGCAGGGGAGCGTGACTTTCGAGAACCGACATAAACTTGGCATGCCAGCCATTCCACATCTCGTCTACAGTTGCAGCAGGGGGAAAGGAGTGGAGGCTGCACGAGGCAATATCTTCACGAAATGTTGCAAGGTTAATGGCACGGATCTTGCGGGTGAGGCGCACTGATTTCCGCTGCAGTGGGTGTTGCGAGGAGGGTAGAGACAGACTTGCATGCACAAGGAAGTGATCGCTGATCGTGCAGGGTACAACTTCACAATGACTTATAGTACCCACGGTGGAGAGCACTAGATCAAGCAGCGTTCCATCCGGACATCGGGGTGTGACTCGCGTGGCAGACTGAACATAGTTGCGGAGCCCATACGATCCGATAAGGTCCCAGAAGCGCTGGTGAGGACGACTGGTCATGCATTGAGCCAGATTGATATTAAAGTCACCCACCAGTGTCATTGATGGCGTGATCGTGGCAGCATTGTGGAGGACTGTGTCCAGGTGGCCCCAGAAATCAGCAGTTGCATTTGGTGGGCGATAGAGGCAGCCAACGAGGTGCTGGTGTTGCCCTCCGCCAATAGCTATCCAGGTAGCCTCCAGGTGGCTATTGTGCAGATCAGAACGATAGGTAACTGGGAGTGATGTCTTGTAATAGAGGCATGTGCCCCCACCCTGGCGATCGGACCGGTCACAGCGAACAACACTGTAGCCGGGAATACAAATTTCGCCATCCGAGATTGTACTATCCAGCCAGGTCTCAGCAACGCCAACGACGTCCCAGTTGTGCTGGTGGGCAAGGCTGTCCAGTGCATGCAGCTTGTAGCGCAGGCTGCAAATATTCAAAAACCCGATGTTGAGGCTCGTGACGAACAGTTTGAGGTTGTTGCAGTTGGTTGTTCTTTGGGAGCCCCGGGACCTTCGAGGCTGGAAGGGAGTAGCATTGGGGTTTAGCAGGGGTATATGGCTGGCAGCAGACATCACTGTTTGCTGACTGGAGCCACGCGCTTTGCAGCTTGGTCTTCAGCGGGAGAACCACGCTGGTGGGGTCGTGACTTCTGCCCAGGGGTCCGAGTTAACTCAGCGCCGGGTTTGGGAGAACTGTCGCTGCTGCTATTTCGGCGGCTGCTGCTGCCGCTCCTGCCACAGTCGTTTCCGCTGCTGTCGTCGCCACTGCCATCGTCCCTGCTGCTGTGGGCATTGTCGTTGCCGTCGCCACTGCCACCGTCACTGCTGCTGCCGCCGCCACTGCCACAGTCGTTTCCGCTGCTGTCGTCACCACTGCCACCGTCACTGCTGCTGTGGGCATTGTCGTTGCCGTCGCCACTGCCACCATTACTGCTGCTGTGGGCCTTGTCGTTGCCGCTGCTCTTCTTGGGTGGATTGAATTTCCATGTCCTCAGCAACCGACATCAACACGGCCAACGTAGACGGCCTTGCACCTTAGCCGACTGGCACCCCTTAACCGGTCGTGCTTGCGTGCAGGGCGCTGATAGCAAGATGTCACCGTTGCCTGAAGTGCGGGCTCCGTTACTGAGCCTGCATTCGTCCTGTCTGGTGCAGCCTGGGCAGCCTTGGCACGAAAGCCATCGGTAGCCGGCGCAGCCGCAGCCCTGGAGTAGGAGTGGGGGTGCATCTGCGCCTGGCACGCACCCACAGCCTGCGCGGGCCGTGGATGCACCCGCGGTGAAGGACTGGTACAGGCTGGTTGGGTGCCGGCCAGGCACTCCCCCAGCTACTCGACTGCAAGTTACGTCCGTGCTAGCAGCCACACGTCGGATTTCTTCGCCTTGCGACCTGATCGCTTGCTCCAAGGGTCCGGTATCCGTCTTCTCAAGCCTTCTTTCAAGAATATTGAGTCGAGTATCCAAGCCATTGAACGAGTTACTGACGGCTGACACCTCCTCACGGATACGAGCAATGGAATCTAGGACCGTTTCCATGCGCTCTTCTAAAAGATCGCTCATACAGGTGCGGAACTGTTTCATGAGGTGGTCTGCATTTACGATGCCAACAGAGTCCGATGCGACCAGCGCGCTGCCTGCAGCGCATAATGCATGATACAATGTACATGTACATGTATGTGTGTACCGCCTATCCACGGCTGCATAGCCAGTCCCTGGGGCCGCTACGTAGACGTGCGACCGGATTTCCATGTCCGCGACAGTACTACAGTCGACTTCGCTAATAACGACTGCGGATATAACGACAATTCGCGAATAACGACAGAATTTCCATGCCCAGAGCAAAGTCCCTTCCAACTGTAATACAATATGAAGAGACTTCGGGTATAACGACACTTCGCGAATAAGGACACTTTTTTGATGCCCCGCCGAGTGTCGTTATAAGCGAAGTTGACTGTACTGCTAGCTTGCTCTGCCAGACACAGCAGTCTAGCAGCTACACGTCTATGTACATGTACCTTCGCCCTTTAACGCCGAAACAGCTTGCTGTCTACAGGTGCATGTACCTTCACGTCAGTTAGGGCGCGTTCGAATTATCACTCTTTGACTTTTCGAGGAGCTTCGATTTTCTGAAGAGGTGGCCTTATTGGCCTCTTCAGAAAAGCGAAGCTCCTCGAAACTCCACAACCTCACCTGATGGGAGAGGTGGATTAGTTTCGAAGAGTTTGGAATAGCTACGTCACGTAGTGCGTGGAGATGGTCGATCCGATCGGACGTCATCATCGCCATGACAATTCCACCGAAAAACTCTAAAAATTAATGATAGAAACCGGACACTTCAACTAATCTCTTCATAAAATTTGTTTGAACAGTTGATGAAGACCATTCGAACGCGCCCTAAGGGAGGCAAATCTCACACAACCATCAGAAGCTATCCAGTTCTTGCAACTGGAGAAACTGATCTAAGTTTCTACTACATGTACACTGTACTCTCACAGTCATAATATTATTATTAAAATGACTTGTAGTTACCGAAGAAGAAGAAGAAGTTGCAGCTGCAGGTAAGCTGCAGAGTTTTGGGAAGACAGAGAGGCGCGCTCGCTTCGTTCGCCGTGCACGCGTGATCATGAGATTACGCGAGCATTTTGTCGCAGGAGAGGTGCGACACCACTCCCGCAAAACCTGTTCGCAACAGCGGATCCGCCACTGCACGTGGGACCGGGCCAACAGTACAGACAAGCCTACAAAAATAGTACAAGTGAAATTGCTCACCGCTGTGTGTGAACAGCTACGATTCATCCGACACAGTCGGTCCATTTCTTGCCGGAGTCGGGGTGGGCGCATCGGCCCAGTGTGAACCAGGCACACTTGTCACCTTTTCACGCTGCTCGTGCTAGTCCGCGCGTTTCATTGCTCTACAATATAAACAGGACCGGTTTGGCTCCGTCATCCTCACTTGCCAAGCAATACTACTGACGAGAAGGAGCCCAGGTTTTCTGCTACTTCTTTCTTCATTGTAGCGCGGAACTGAGTTCAAAACTCACTTCTTCTAGCATGATGTTTTCAAAAGAGTTGGGAATCAAGCGGGGAGCGATTCTATCTTCCGTCAAGGTTTGTCGAGTGAAGGATGGGTGGGCTTCTACTCTACTGCAAACGCAGTCGTCAGTCTGTCAAGGTTCAAGGCGGTCGGCAGGAAGCGCTAGCTCCGACGTTTGAAGAAGACATTTTCTGAACTGGAAATTGTTACCGGTATTTCAAATACTGGTACCTGCTTCCGAAGGACATGTCGTGCTACTTGAAGACAATTTCTCCACGGTTTGGAGTCGTCAGACGTCACTCACTCCCGGAGCGGGTTTTCAGGTTCTGCTGAATTCGAGGCGTGGTGAAGCGGAAGCACGGGAACCAGGGGACGCGCACCTCGCCTGTGTGCGAGGAAGGAAGCATGGGTCTGGAGTCCGGATGCTGGAAGCGTTGAGCTGACATGAGCAATTTTCAGGTGAGGTAATGGTGACATCTTGTCAGGGTTTCTTAGTGGCGTTCTGTACTTGGCCTCATCCCGTGTGGTCTCAATGTTTGTTTGGGGTTTTGCACTGACCCTGTGACCCATTTCACCATTTCTAAAATTAGCTTTCCATGCAAGAAATGCAAAGCACGTGGCGGTTTTCATCATATTGTTTCTAAGGTGCGCAAGCGCCACCCAACAGCAAAATGTATTTCCACGTTTGCCCATGGCCAATGAGGAAGATGTTTCAACTGGGTGCTAAATTGCTTTTCCAGGCGAAGGCTATGTGTCGAGGGCACTGCTTTTTGTACCAGAATTTTCACCCCTTTCCTTGTGCAGGTCTGGCCAGAGACACCCCCACCTCGTGAATCGAGTAATGCCATGCTCAGCTGTTCAAAGTGTTATATGTGTGTGGTGGTGGAGCTGGTTTGCCCTGCACCATTATAGTCCCGAGGTCCAGCTTCTCTGGCGAGGACTTTAAAACAAATTGCTTGGGCAAGACCAAAATCGAATAACAAAATAGAATACATGGACATAGGAAACATGAGGGATACTCAGCTAGTGATGTATGTAGAATAGAAGAAAAGCCTCAGGTCATTGAATGTTTTTTATTTATTTTTTTTTTTATTTTTTTTTTTTACTATGTTCACATTCCCAGCTCGAAAATAATAAGAAAGACAATGATACTGAGACTAGGACGAACGTGACAACTATTGAGCAGGGGCTGCAGCGAGACGCAGCAGTGATGGTGGGGCATTGATGGCTCTGCCGACCTGAGGTCTCGGCATCACGGCCAAAAACAAAAGATAGAGCTGTACGAGTCAGCAAAATGAAAAGAAAGGAAGGCCTTAAGGGTTAACACCAGCGAGTGTGCGGGAGAAACTGTGAGACTATTAACAAATTACAAGGGCTGTTACTGAGATGAGCATCATCATGGCTGATCATGGTGAGTCGGTTGTCTGAGCCAGTTGTGGTGCATAGATAGGGATAGAGGAGAACGACGAGAGCATCATAATAGCGAGTCGACTGCCCAGAGCCAGTTTGTGCTTCGCAGATGGCGATAAACATTAGTTTTGAATGCTTGTATTCCCTTGCTGTGGGGAGGCTGGGACAGAAGAGCGGCGGGGAGGTGTCCCACTAGCTTGTCAGTTTTGTGCCCTATTATTGCACTTTCTTGACTGCTTATGATCTTGTTACAACATTTATTACTAGCTGAGTATCCAAGATAAATACCTGGACAATGTTAAAACAATTTGGGGGGGGGGGGAGAGAGATAGAGGTTGTAAACACGGTTATAAAATTTCATTTTCAGCATATCCCAGGCAAGCTGTGTGCAAATCAGTCATGGCCAGTGAAAATGCTATCCGTCTCGCCCATTGTGTCTGAAAATGTGGAAAATCCTATTTTGGAGAACGCTTTGAATTTTCACCGTACTCTCGGAGAACTATCAGTAGTCAAATGATTGGTGTTTCATTTAAAAAAAAAGTGAAGTCAAAGCAAAAGCAAATACATGAGGGGTACTGTAAAAACCATTATTATGATCGTCTTTTTTCAAATTGTAGAACTCCAATCTGTCCAGTAAAGGGCTATGACGACGTCTTACAAACGCCTCGATGGCCCCGATGATAGCGTCATCATCGTCCTCCTCGGAAATACAGATTATGTCTTGGCGGATATATCGCCGGAGTTCCTCATCTAAGGACTGTCTCAGTGCTGCCTCTCTGGTTTCTCGGTCCTGGGACCTGAGGTGCTGGCAGCGTACAAAGTCCTCCCACGATTCTTTCCACGTCGTGAAATCTGCCAAGGTGGCGGTAGCGTCCAAAATTGGGCGTTCAACATTGATGGAGGTCTGCTTCGTGGGCTGACTTGCCCTCTGGGGTTCTCTTGCACCCTGGCTCAGCGCAGCGTCTAGCAGCCCCACCATTCGGTCATCTCGGGCAGAAGCCTGCTGTGCTTGATCAGCAATCAGTTGCGCCAATCGGGCGAGGGTGTAGTCCTGCCTTGAAACTGGTTCACCTTCGCTGTGGGCCAAGTCGCCGTCCACCTTGGTTGCTTCTCCACCTTCCGCGTCCATTGCTGCAATAGCACGTTGAACTTGCATGCGTAATGACATCGACTGCATGACCACTATGGCCATACATGCTTGCAAGGGTTTTCATCTGATAGTTATAAACACACAGTACTCTTACCTACGGTCAAAGTCGTTTCTCTTCTTCTCATCACAAAGTTTGCCCGAGGCAGAGCGGATTTAAAATATCCAGAAGAGCTGAACTCCCATCAATGATGTGTAGCTCTTGGTTTTCCATAACCAGTTCAGTGCAGCAAGTAAGGACAAGGAACAATAGCGGAGAGGTAGCAGGAATGTGTAGTAGCACTGACGGTATGCATAATGACGCCAATGGTATCTGCACATCACTGCAGCATTCCAGAATTCCAGCTCGATATCTCCGGTGCACATTGCAAAGTATGACCAGTGTAGCAGGCATGCACAAGATGGTCAAGCAATCATCTCCTTGTGTTGGTGGACCCGTAATGTTATACATAGGCAGGAACGTGACAGCAGCCTACCCAGGGGAAAGTCCCCACCAGGGGAAAGTCAGTACCAGTCTACTGTTTAGCCTGTGACTATTGAGCATACAGCTATCTTGCTAACCGACTAGTGCATGGTAAAATTATAAATCCTGTGCTAGACCTTACCTAGCCTAGCGTACCATTGACGATGAATACACCGGCCAGGTATTGCCCACCTTATCGTTGCGATCAGTATTAAACTGGCTACCACAACTGTGCAAATTATTCCCGGAGAAAGGTCGGTCTTGTGGCAGCCGGTTCACCTTGGCAAGCTTGTATTGATGGACATGTATTGCCATACATAGCCAGTAAAGTGATAGCAGCCTACGCAGGGAAAATCAGTGCTAGTCTACTCTTTAGCTTGTCACAATTGAGCAAACAGCCACCTTGCTAACTAGCTAGCCCATCGCAAAAGCTGTTAGTCCTGTGCTAGACCTTACCTTACCTTGCCTTGCGTCTCAGTGACGTTGAAGAAACCAGCGACGCATCGCACAGCAAATTATCAGGATCACACCAGATGCATATGTTCGTACATATTCTTGCTGATCGTCCGCTGTTAGCTACTTAGTTACAATGCAGCAGACGGCCTTGCTTCCCCAGAATGGTTGTACGAAAACTGTTGAAGCAACAGCATTCCTGAATAGCGCTGCTTCATACAAACAGTAAAATCTGAATCCACGAAATCCAAACATTGGCCTCAAGTGAGGATCTTGATGCACGTAATGAACTACTGCCACGAGAGAGTCAGGAGTACAATGGCCGGTTTCTATGGAAGTGAGCTAATATCTTCTTGAATATCCTTACACTATCACGTTGTGCAGCGTTGGTAAGAGGGGCATTTCCTTAGGTTTGCTGTTGTGATCAATGGTTGACAGTGTGCAGACTGTACATTTGTGTGTACTTTGTGTTGGTTTTGTCTTCCAGTGGTATTTGATATCCTAGCTGCCAATGATAATTGTTATTCCTGGCGGCTCTACAAATTCTGCATGCCGGTTGAATTCCACGGTGTCCCCTTCCATGCACTCGGCTATCATGTCCTGGAGTGTCCGTTCGGAAAGGAAGGACGTCGTGCAGCATCTAAACGGGTGGGTTTTAGTTCCTGTCTCATATCTAGACCTAGTGTGATTGCAAAGGTAGTTTGCTTTGCCCTACTTTGAAAATATGAATAATACTTCATACATCAGGCCAGTTATCTATTTGCTGAAAGAGCTCAGCACAGCCTTTCCATATGTATAATTCACTCGACTCATTTGTCTCCGGATCGATCAATAAAAGTCAGGCGAGTCCAAGTCTGCAAGTATGAGTGTTGCATAAACTGATGGTCACAATAACTTTTTCCCTTTTGCAACGCATGCGGACAAAATGATTTCTATCAATTATTTCAAAGAACTTGCCTTATTTAATATTTCCACTTTGCCCTGCACGTTGGCTATGCTACGGGGACTTGAACTTCTAGTATTCCATTCCTTTGTGAAAAGGTGAAAAAAAGAAAGAAAAGGAAAAGCCGCAAAAGCGTACCATCTCTCTGCAAAGTGCTTTCAGTTAAGACATCATTCTCGTCTGCACATGTCAATTCCTGTAATGTTCAGGTTCAAGAAAGGAGGGATGCATAGTGACGGTGACTACTCAGTCCCTGGAGAAACGGTCTCTCACATCACCAATCCAGCACAGTGGACCGTAGCTATGCACATATCAGCCCATGAAGCATGCTGAGAAGAACCTGGTCTAGACGGCCATGGCGTCGGCAGGGAAGCGGGACGACATGAGTATGCACTTTCCGCCAGTTTCCAAGGCAACAGTATGGCAGTACAAAGCCGGTAAAGTTGAGTTCTGCTCTGTTTTACTTTCTCTTTTCGTTCGTCCCTCTTGATATTTGTACTTCGTACTGTTGAGGCAACGAACTGAACTAATAAAAACCAAACCAAACCATGTACTGTGTGCGTGGCCTGCACTAAGGCGTCGGTTTTAGCTACTTGTTGTCCATAACATCAGCATTGTAAGACATGCTACTGATACTTCTTGAAGCTGCCAGTGCAGTGAAGTTTCCTGTCATTTGTTTTGAATTTGAATTTTTTGATTTGGGCTTCGTTTGGATTTGAACTCGCCTTAGGGTTATGCGCGTGGTAGTCCTCACACCTTGTGTCGCCGTTTAAGCATGGGATTACGACATGTCTACATGTTTTGAGCAATGTATCCTTACTCCAGTACATTATATGATGATGTGTGTTCATGTGGGTTTCGCGGTTGGATCTAAGTGGCTAGCTGTCATCTGTCTGTGTGTGTCTGTGAAACACAGGCAAAAGTTTAAAAAAAAGGACAATAACAGTGGAAAGTGTCAAGTATACTCAAGAGCCTGACGTGTGCCTTTCTCTTAGTGGGATTGCATTCTTGTCTCCGAGCACACTGCCCACTAATAAGTAATAGTAATAAGATTACAATCTTATTGTGTACACAGCAGCAAGTTGCGGTTGTCGTTGCGGAGGCACGCCTGCCGCCTGAGGCCTCTCACTAGCTTTCTATAAAAAATAAAATAAATCACGGTTCGCGTGAGACTCGGCTGGAAGCCAGGCTTTCCGCATCCGTAGGAACGCCCCCACCCTTCAAGGATCAAGGCGCAGATGCAGCTCCTTAAGTTGTGGGAGGTGAGTAGATTAGCTTTCTATAATACGAAATAATTTGAAAGGTAAAAAAAAGAGAAGAAACACATGAGAACGAGTTATGCAGCAACTATCCACGACTGTAACAAGATGATAAACGGTCAGAAAAATGTGTTCTCTTTTTTACATTTTATTACTGTCTCAGTATCCAAGTTTAAATTTGAAAGGTGCTTGGACTAAGTTCCACTTGTTTTATCAATGTATTATAGTTACTGCACAGTGCTGTGCATGCTAGCTACATAATCATACTATGTATTTTTGCCCCAACACGAGGCTGATTTATGAGGAAAAAAGAGAAAAGAAAGGCTTTAGAAGACCAACGGACTTCGAACGGACTTCAGCGTCAGCATCCGGGTGGCAGAGTGATGAACATACTCAAGTAGTTGATTGAGAATCTTATGGTTGCAGGTTCAAATTCTACTTTCGTCCCTCTATGTTGCAGGTTTTCTCTTTAATTCGGAGTGAACGTTTCAAATTCCCTTGAAAGCCGAAAGGCTACACTTTCTCTCAGTGGTGATTAAAGGGGAAGTTAAGGCAAAAATTAAAATTTCACCAGTTGTAGTCTTCGGGGTGCTGAGTCGAATGGTCTTGGTCCGAGGAAGCTGAGACGCTCCCTTCCTACTTGAATCCCAATCGAACTCGCGCACTTCCACCGAAACTGGGTGACTGCGCCCTACTAGATGGGGATTTGTATGCAAAATGTCACTAAAAGCGCCATTTCGTTCTTATAAAAGCTCGGATGACCTCGATTGGCCCATATGTTGTAGTCTTTTGGACGCTGAGTCGACTGGTTTTGGTCCGATAAGGCTGCGATGTAGCGTTCCTCCTTTATTCCCAATCGAACATGGTTGAACAAGTGGTCACGTGCTCCTGCGTACACCAGTCACCTGGTCACCGTGCCTGCAGGGTACAACTTACTAGCTTGTTTGACCTTTTTTGGGTGCACTCCTGTCACTCGAGTTGAACTCGAGTCGAACCTTGGTGTGAAATTTGTCGCCTGCTGGCGTGGTGACCAGGTGATTTGGGCACCCAGGAGCACGTGACCGCTTGTTCAACCATGTTCGATTGAGAATAAAGGAGGAACGCTGCATCGCAGCCTTATCGGACCAAAACCAGTCGACTCAGCGTCCAAAAGACTACAACATATGGGCCAATCGCGGTCATCCGTGCTTTTATAAGAACGAAATGGCGCTTTTAGTAACATTTTGCATACAAATCCCCATCTCGTAGGGCGCAGTCACCCAGTTTCGGTGGAAGTGGGCGAGTTCGATTGGGATTCAAGTAGGAAGGGAGCGTCTCAGCTTCCTCGGACCAAGACCATTCGACTCAGCACCCCGAAGACTACAACTGGTGAAATTTTAATTTTTGCCTTAACTTCCCCTTTAACAGCAGTGCACTAGTCACAAGAGTAATGGGTAACAGTGGTAAATATACGCGTTGAATGTTGAGAGCTGCTTACAATGGAACCGGTTGGGTTCCCACCAAGGACAATCAGTTGCTGCTCAGAGTTTCTTCAAGCAGCAGACATCAATTTATGCTCCAACAAACTTAAGCAGTGTTGTACATATCAGTACAAGCAAGAGTACGTAACCCCCCAGAGTGTGCAACGCCGATTCAGCTCTGCATAGGGTCTTGGTCGAGCGTAATTGGATCTTCTGATGTCATGCGTACACTCCACACCAGCGCAAGGCCGGTCTCGAGGCAGGGCACCATTGTTTTTGATCCAAGAGCATCCGCGACTCCCCGGGTTCCCCTTAGATGTGTACGGTATTATGACGCAAAGATCCGATTCCGCTCGACCAAGACCCTATGCGCAGCTGGATCAGGCGTCGCACACTCTGGAGGGTTATGTACTCTTGGTACAAGACAACCTAGCCACATAGCCATAGTACAGCTGCGACATGCTTCGCCTGCGCCGTCTCGCGGTGTGAGGTCTAGGTCGGTAGAGGGCGACGACCTATCTTATAAAAAAAGCTGGGGCGCAATCCTTGTGCCATGGCCGTTAGTTCGCTTTACTAGCTGTTCCAATGAAGTCTAGATGGCCGAAACACATGTAAAAATCGTATACGTACTAGGTCAGCCTTGTTTGGTTCAATAGACCCTTTGCACAATAATGGTCACGTGATCCGAGACGGGGCATCCTCTTCGATTTTTGTGCAAGCCCTACGCGCTTAGTTGAGGCGCTCGAGGATCACCTGCGACGTTCGGCAGCGAGGCCAACCTGCGTTGGCAACGCGGAAACCGGTCTTATCTCGTTGGCGCTTGACGGCCCAGCACGCGCGATTTACGGAAGGTTGTAATGGCTAACCGAAGAAAGTTGAGGTGGGTTTTGAGGGCTAAACCTGATTTTTGCTCTAATTGGTAAAACCGGACAAGGCGAGATGAGGAGCGCGGTCCTGCGCGGTCCTGCGCGGATAACGCAGAAGGACGAAGATACAGTAGATCTACTCTCCCATCCCCGGCTGTACAACACTGATGTACTGGTGAACCGTTCAGTGAGTTTTGTCGCCATATCGCTCTCCTTCAGACACCATTCGGATAACACAATCCGCGCAACAATACAAGCCGCTCCAGGATCGACTTCTGTTTCATCGTTCTGTTTTGGTCCCTTCACGCAGTTGCAACGCAACACACAAATCCGTCCCGGTAAACCTAAAGCTATCACTCAGCACTGTAATGATGAAAGTGTTGAGATCTAGACGGAGCCGAGGTTGCAGCGTTTCATTGCGCTGACGGAAGTGTTCGTCGGTGGAAGCTCCAGTCGAAAAGATTCAAATGAACCGATCGCAACTTCTGTGATGGTTTGCGCTACCATGTTCTGGGATGCAATGGTCTATGGTTTTGTTCGGATAGTGAATCCGTGGTTCCATGCGGTATGACACAGGCAGAACACAGAAAAATCAAGTGCGAAGATTAGCATCAATTGTAACTAGTTACTTGGCGGACCAAGTAGTACCCACTAAGGACGTTCCCCAGTACAGTAAAACCTGCGATTCCGGGACCCTTTACCAAGCAGTATCCTGTAGTGACCGGCCACATTGTCACGGACCAAAGTGCTGTGGAGTGGACGTGTATCTCTGGATCAAGGTGAATTCTGTAATATTAGGACAGTTTCCGCTGCACTAAGGGCATCCAGTTACAGCAAGCTAATATTGTTGTTTCACAGAGAGCTGAACGAGCAGTATCTTTTCGGAACTCTGGGTTTCACGAACTGAATCGATCATCAGTTCGTCAAACTCAGAGTTACGAAAACAGAACTTCTCGTTCTTCTGTCGGTGTAGTCCGCTCTTTGATTTCGGCAAATTGAGCCCTCTACGGACGGTGCATGACCTTCACATGATAATAGTATTAATTTTATATTATTCATTTAGTCCAGTCATCGCGTACCGATGCCCTCCCGATGTTTACGAGCATTCCTCCCACTGTGTAGTGAAGTGAAAGATATTTGAGCAAGTCGTTTGCGCCCTGCATCGTCGGCTCTTGTTCCACTCAGCTCCTTTGTAAGGCTAGGCCCTGTTTCACCAGCCAACAAGCAACTGCGTGTGTTACTTCTCCATAGTAGCGAACGACATGAAGGCGCGCAGAGTCACTACGACTTGTGCATGTGTCCTAGGAATGTGTGGTACAACGTCAGGTCTGGTACCCAATCAACCTTTTAATGGGATGGCGTAGTGGATATACGTATATGTCATGCACATGCCACCGCTTCGTCAGGCTAGCTTCCAGCTACTGCGACAATCACCCGTGCACAAGCCACTGGAACATTCACGCACAGGCATTCCTGGTATATAAAGGGAGGGAATTGGAACGTTCGGACGTACGGGTAGTCCTGTGTGATGTAGTGTGCAACAGCACCAACTTATACTCATTTACTGACCATTAGATTGTCTTAGCCTAGGAAACAGAATATAGTCGTACAAAGTTTGTCTTGACGACTTCTTAGGGTCATCGCGGCAAGCCAATAGAAAGGTAGCTCGTGTCCTATTTAGATACTAGCACTAGTGGCAGTCCTAGTACCTGTAGGGTATCTGTAAGACTGCTGTACGGACCAACTAAGCCGGTCGCCAACATGGTGAGTGAGAATCACTAGACTAGGTACTAGTTTGTGCTGTCATTGCTCCACTCTTTGCAAATGAAGACTTGCAATACGACTCAATAGAACTCAACCGAGAATGAGAGATTGACCCAGAGAAAGTGAGACAGTTAGATAGATGGGTAGATACTGGCGAGTATGGTGGAGCATTTGTAGATAAAGAGATAGACAGAGAGGGAGAGACCGAGACACAGAGAGGGAGACAGAGACATGGAGAGACAGAGAGTTGTGGTCGTTGTTGAAAATAAAATCTAAAACACCAACAACAGAGACAGAGGGAGGGAGAGAAAGAGAGAGAGAGAGAGAGCGAGGGAAATAAAGAGAGAGAGTGAGAAAGAGAGAAAGAGAAAGGGACAAAGAGACAGAGACAAGAAGACAGAGATAGATAGATAGATCGAGAGAGAGACAGAGAAAGGGAGTGAGAGAGAGAGATCGAGAGAGAGAGAGAGAGAGAGAGAGAGAGAGATCGACAAAGACAGAGATAGATTGATACTCAATATGCGAGATAGATAGGTAGGAAGCGAGAGAGAGACAAGGAGAGCAAGAGAGCGAGAGAGAGAGATCGACAAAGACAGAGATAGATAGATACTCAATCTGCGAGATAGATAGGTAGGAAGCGAGAGAGAGACAAGGAGAGCAAGAGAGCGAGAGAGAGAGAGAGAATAAATATCTCAGATAGATAGATAGATAGATAAAGATAGAGAGAGAGAGAGAGAGAGAGAGAGAGAGAGAGAGAGAGAGAGAGAGAGAGAGAGAGAGACATAGACAGAGATACAGTGACGGAGATGAAATAAGTGTCTGGAACATCGTACCCAGGGGTCGAAGTGATCACGATAGAGCAGACTTCATGATCACTTCTGTTCTTACGTGCAATGGGCCAGTCACCATTTTTTAGGTGTTACATGTACTCTCTTGATTGGATCAAGTGGGTACTCGTTAAGGTCGCGAACTTCTTGTACCTTACAAAAAGACAAAAATAGTAGGGACGTCAAGTGATCATCAACGGACTTACTTTGCAGTGTGATTTGATGTTCACCGACATAGGCAACTGATGATAACGGTTTATTTTTTTATTTTTTGTTTTACTGGATACCACAGAACTATCAGATGCTGCACAGTGGGGCAGTGGCATATTGGATGGCAGTGGGGGCCGGCGGGGCTAAAAGTAACTCCTCCGACCAAAGGTCTTGGGTTCATTGTTACTCATGTGCGTCGCACACAGTCAAATCATCCCCTCACTGACTCAAAATACACACTCAAGAACACACACACACACACACACACACACACACACACACACACACACACACACACGTAGACGCAAGTACATACTTGCCTGCTGCATGCAGATACACAACCGAAACACACCCACACACTCATTCTGATGTACACGAATCGATACTGACACATGCATGGACATTACGAGCATTAAAAAAAATCGACGGGTTCGCGTACCGGGCAGGTCAAGTACAAGGAGTTGTACAACTCCCTGGTCAGGAACCACCTTTCCGCTTCCGTGGGACGCCACCACCCCATGATCAGGCGTCAGATGCGGCTGCTAAAATGGTGGGGGAGCATAGATCAGATCCACCAACCAGAGGCCAAAGGCCTAAATCCCACTTGCCACATCCAAGTTTTACTCCGAATACTCGTGCGAGGCCAGGAGTTCCCAATTTACTGCGGGTCGCAGCACGGTTGGAAAAATCCTTCCGGTTCCAAGCAGGACTTGAACCTGGTACCTCTCCTTTCTCAATCATGTTCTTAGACCAACCCACTATGCCTGCCTGACGAGTATTACTCTCGATAATCATGTAAGACTGTACGGAGGCCAATCGCACACAATGTAGCCTCTACACTTCTATCACGTGTTTTGTTGCAGGACACGTGGATGTTTACACCAATCGTCGTTGTCACGCTGCTGTTGCTGGCAGGTCCTGGTGCCCTAGGAGAGCAAGAGCGAGGTAAACAAATACTGCACTAACGTTACTGGTGGTACTCAGTAAATTCTCTTTTGATGGAAATGTTCATTCTCCGTGGAGCATTCTCTCTACAGCGATGTTTCATAAAACTGCATTAATTTCCGTTCAGAAAGTGGTGGACATCACGGAACTGCATTTTAAATACAAGGGGGTTTGAGAAGGGGGGTTGTCAACTGACAACCGCTCCATTTATAATTTAGTTGCTTTAGATGAAAATTCTTTTATCAATGATGTTGAAAAATTATTGACGTTCCGGGCCAGTCACCCATCGTCAGAACCATGTACAAGGAGCGAACCTGGCCTTTTATAACTAAAGAAAGCGAGAGCGTATGTAAAAAGCACACAATAGCCGTATGCAATTGAGTGTCTGAATTAATATTTGCATGACTGTACAACCGACAAGGAGAAATGCGCTGAAAGAGGGGGTATGCAACAGCTCAGCAGATGAAGCGCAGGAAATGTGTGTGCGAAGGTGTATACCACGATCATTGTGTGTACAACCCTGTACAGACACAGCAAGATTTAGCAGTCTCACTGCGTGGGTGCTAGCGCCTAGTCTTGACTGCCCGAATCTGGGGAGTTAGGTCTAACTTAGGGTCAGGGCCTGTACTTGGGTCTGGAGTTTTTCAGTGCACTTACTGTGACTTAGTACATGCAGCGTAGCCACGCAGCAGTGTTAGGCCGCGGTCACACCGAGCATTTTTTTCTTTTTTTTTCTTCTTCCGTGGTTGGTCTCACCCTCTCCTCAATGGCTGTCTTGACATGCCACGAGGTGCAGAAAAAAATAAATAAAATAAAATAAATTCCGCCATTTCCATGCTGAATTCCGCCAAGACGCCAGAAGGCGGATTTTTCTTGAGTTTTTGCATTGCTTGAGGGTGGAAATTCAGTTGCGTACCGGTTGCGAAGACAATTGCCAAGCGTTGTTTGCGTACCACATTCATAGCAGCAAACAAGTCAAACACATAGAAAAACCTGACGGAGAGTTGTCCAAACTTGCAACAGACGAGAGGCTGTGCATGGGCAACGAACGAAATCACTAGTACCGGTAATAATAATAATAATTATTTATCTTTCCCGCGCAAACCCATTCCGCTAGTCAGCGTATGTCTACCGTGTATGCAAGCGTGCAGACCTTCACTGCTTCAGTCTGCGATTCATCTGCCCGCGTTTCAGCCAGTTTTGGTGTGACCGCGGTTGGTGTCTGTGCACTCTGGCATCACACCGTCCAGATATCCTGACACGTCCTGACACCTTGCTAGAGTAGACTATTTTTCTACACGCCGACATGACAGTGTACTTCTTCTATTATAGTGTGTAGTGGTCGACCTAGCTACATGTACCACATTTTCGCACATTTTCGACCTACCGAATTTTCACACTCCTAACCTAACGTTCCACTGCAGAGTCTTGTGCACGCGCGGCGTGTGTCTGCTCTCGCAGACAGTCAGAGAGTAGCATGAAATGATTGTAGCGCCCCAGTCGTCGTTTATGCGCCACTTTCTGTCTCTGAATGTTCCTTTTTCGCACTAGCTTTTAGTGCTAGCCCGCGCGTTTCCTTTCCGTACAATAAAAAGAGGACTTGTTTGGCTCCGTCATCCTCACTTGCCAAGCAGTACCACTGACGAGAAGGAGCCAAGGTTTTCTGCTACTTCTGCGTTCTTCATTGTAGCGCAGAACTGAATTTCAAATTGACTTCTTCCGGTCAAATTATGATAATTATTCTTCAAGAGAACTGGAAATTGTGATTTCCAAGATTTGTTCTTGCTTCAAAAGATCATACTGTACTACAGTTTCGAAGTCCATTGCTAGAAGGAAGTAGGACGGAGTCATCACGCGTTCCAGGAGCGAGTTTTGAAGTCTGCGTGGGTAAATTCGAAGCGCAGTGAGGCGAAAGCACGGCCACCAGTGAACGCGAGACGTGCCTGTGTTTCAGGAAGGAGGCATGGGTGTTGAGTCAGGATGCTGGACACGGTGCGCTGGCATGAGCAATATTTAGGTGAGTACTAATGACGGCATCTTGGCAGGGTTCCCTACTTGCGTTCTGTACTTGACCTCATCTTGTGTGGTACCAAAGTGCAGAGGGTTTGGGAACAATGTTGACGTGTGGCCCGTCGGTGTTGTGTGTGTGGGAAAGAATAATAATTATCAATCCCTTAGTATTGACTCGCATAGATTTTTGCCATACCTAAGCAGTCAAATATTCCTGCATATTTCACTCCTTAGGGCTATATTGACTGCTTATACTTGACTGCTTGGGGGTTGCGCAGTTGAACGGTGCCTAGTGCAGCATTGTCACTGCATGAGTAGGTGGTGGTGCAACGGTTGTGCAATCGTAAAGCCGGGATTCGTGAGGTTATCGTTCTGGAATTTGAAGTACGGACTGTTTGCCGTGATAAATCTAATATTGACTTCTTACTTGGTCAGTATAGGAAATAAAAACCTCGTCAAAGACCTCGGCTTCGCCGCGGTCTTTTACTCGGCTTTTATTTCCTATAAAAGACCTCGGCTTCGCCTCGGTCTTTTGCTCGGCTTTTATTCCCGTAGCTATGCAGAAGACGTTACTTCAGTAACGTCTGGCGCTAGCCAGGGTCCACACAGCTTTAATTTGGTGTTTATTTGTTTGTGTGTTTGTGTCACGCCTGGCGCTATCCCGTATCTGTCCCGTACCGTACCGTACCATCAAACACAGCTGGCCACATACAGCTGGCCGCAATATTCAAACAGGGCTTTCAAACGCAAGATCATAACGTGAAGCAACTTGGAAGAATGAGTATGAATGCGAAGTGTATGGGGGAATGCATGTGGGGCGATAGTGCAGGTTCGAATCCCAGGTAATGCCTGAAAAAATAGGAGAATTGAAATATTTATAACATCCCTTTTCTTTTTTTGCCGTCATCAAGGCGGTAGACGGTGTCGTATTACCCTCGACCGTACCTGTCCCGTACCTGTCCCGTACATATCCCGTACATATCTCGTACCGTACCGTACATTCAAAGACGGCTGGCTACAATGCATATTCAAATAGGGCTTTGAAATACAAGATCATAACGTGAAGCAACTTGGAAGAATTCGTATGTATGCGAAGTGTATCGGGGGATGCATGCAGGGCGATAGTGCGGGTTCGAATCCCAGGTTATGTCTGAAAACAAAAAGTAGAAACTTATAAGAATTTATAACATCCCTATGTTTTTTTTGTCTAGGTCATCAAGGCAAAAAAGCATAGCGTAGGGCCCTGAGCTTCCAAGCTCTCTCGTTTCCTATATTGACCTCGTACTCAGTCAATATTAGATACTTATTGGTTTCTCAGTTGCGCATGTTGAGTGTTGGTGTAGGCAATGAGTTTGGGTTCGTGCATCAAAAAAGCTGCAAACAACATTGGGAATAATGGCCCTTGCTTGTGCATGAGAAATATGTCGCTATTCTCAAGTTTTTTTGTTCGCAAGTTTTGTTGTTCGCGAGGTTTAAAGTATGCTGTGGAATGGTCACTATGCACAAAGAAGGAGTAATTATTCGTATTCACAAAATCGACTGCAGACTGGTGATAATGTCGAATGATTTCGAGAGTACATACTATTATCCCCTAGTTTGTGAAGCTGCCAGTCTGCATCCTTAACACATGACATTACATCACTCAATGGGATGCTTTGGAAACAGTGCAATGTGAGCACGGGAGAGTTCTATCCTAGGCAGAATGATGTCACACACCAATGCACATGTGGCAATGGTACAGGCAGTGTGCAATGGTTTGAAATGTTACTGTAATGTGGGATACTTTTGCTAGAGATTAAATTTCGCGATTTTCGTGACAATACCAATGAGCTACATTGTATATATATTACGCGCCAAGGTAGACTGATAACACGGCGCACATACAGTTTCAGGAGCCATAGCGCTGCGGTGGCCTAATGGCAGATCTGTCTCGCAGTGACATGCGGATGCCGCCATCCCCTATGTTGGGCTCAGGGCCTGGCAGCACTGATGCTGGATGGTACAGATGACCACCATCTGTAGCCGCTGCACTGTCGTCTATCGGCGCTGTTGGCTGGGCCAAGTCACGGGCGACATCCCTCTTGATGATCTCCACGTTGACAATCTTCTCCGCTGAGTGTGGATCTGCAGCCCGGGTGATGACAACTGTCGACGGCGACACAACGCGAACGATGCGCCACCCAGGCTCGTACGGTGCCAGGCATTTGCGGCTCCGGGAAGGTCGACGTAACAGCACCGCATCTCCTACGCTGTACTCTGCTCCTTCGATCACGCTTTCTGTGTCGTTCCGGGAGAGCTCTTCGTTTACGAGGTCTCGCACACGTGCCGGATCGTTGGTGCCAGGGTGCGACGTCAGCTTCTGGTTGCGGAGCCGGTAGTCGAGGCAGGGCCGAACTGGCGTTGATGCCTTATGCTCCTGCGTAGCAGCGAGCAGAGGCAGCACACATCTCGGCTCACCATGCTTCACTAGCCAGCCGTTGCCGAGCCATTTTTCAACCTCATCTCCAAATAGCTGTTCCTGCTCCTTGGAGAGCTTGGATCGTGGATACTCTCCAAGGCCTGACCCGATGCACGTAGTCGGCTCCGTCTTGTCCGCCCATTGCCACTGCACCTCCCACGCCTTGTCAGCCGTACTCCACCGGAGGATCATATCTGATGCCCGCAGCACAACATCGCCATTGCTGAGCTTCTCCACGTCCGCGTGGTGAAAGTCTTCAGCGACGGCTCGTGCTTCCGACTCGGGGCGTGATGGATGCTCATCTGGGGTGCTCGACGCCAGCACCAATGGGCATGCAGCACTGACGGTCCCGAATACAACCCCCACCAGTTCTCCTGTGTCATACTGCATATGCACACCACCCAGAGTCGAAATGCTGTAACTCCAATCAGCACATCAGCCTCCACGACAGACAGGTCGTCCACCACCAGCATGTCAGTCTCGGTCTCACGTAGGCGAACCACAGCACTATCCAGCCGTGAGATTGTACACTCCACGACGCCACGGACATCCACCGGACTGCCATCGATCGCATTAATTGTGGATGACGTAGGCCTGATATCCAAAGCTAGGTCGGTTGCCAGGGCGCTAGCTACAAGGGAGCGGGATGCACAGGTGTCCACAGCAGCTACTACACGCTTGATTGGACCGCCGGACCGTTTGATGTCCACAAAGATCCGTGGCAGACTGTCATCTCCACTGCTCAGGCATAACACCTTGGAGTCACCATGATCACCAGAGAACACAGGAGCAGCAGCTGCACTCCCACCCCGCTGCTTCTTCTGCTTGAAGGCCTTGAACTCCGCACAATCTCTCATCATATGCCCAGCCTCGTCGCAGAATAAACACGTCAGCTGACTGTGTTTGGCTTGCTTGTGGCTACCGGTGCCACTTCTCGTGCTCGCAGGGCAGTTCCGCCTGAAGTGGCCAACTTGACCACACTTGTAACACAGGATACGTCTTGCGGAGTCGCGACCTGCACCTGCTGCAGCGGTCATCCTGGAAGAGCCTGATGGAGCCCGATCGTCTAGAGCACCGTAGCTCACTGCTGCCACACCGGGCTTCATCGATCGCTCCACGCTTCTAAGCCGCCTGACGTACTCCACGCAATCGTCGATGGTGTCCGTTTTTCCACTCATGCGGAGCTCCTTCGCAAACTGAGAGGGGAGCCCGGAGAGAAACTGCCTGATCACTATTTTATTCTTCCCGTCAGCACCAACCTGTTCACCAGACAAGGTGAGAAGCCTCTTCAAGTCCGCTGCGAAGTTGTCCACCGACTCGTCTCCTCGCAAGATCCTGGACGTAAACATCGAGTATGCTTGATCCGGTGCCATCCCAAAAGCGGCGGTCAGCTTTGCTTTCACATCGGCCGGCTTCTTCTGATCCGCTGCCGCCATCTCGTTCCACACGGTGAACGCCTCACCCTCGAGATAGAGCGGTAGATTCGCCATCTTCTTTTCGTCCGAGTCCCACTTCTGCAAGTCCGCGACAACTGAGAACTTCGCCCAGAATTCGCTCGGGTCGTCCCGACCCCCGCGGAACGGTCTCAAGAAGCATTCGACTTTGGCCATCTCGCACTGCTACCCAATTCGCCCGACTAATCCGAGTTACAACACAAACTCCTGAGTCCCGGGTTTCGGCACCAAAAAGTGCTGTAACCGAATGGCGCCTAGTAGCATGCACTATGATCCGACACACCGCCAAAGACAACAACCGACCGTTCCTTCTTCGTTCTGAGTAAGAAAAGTGTACGGCATTATATGTGACCAAAAAGATACAGTGAAAGAAAAGCCTAGCAAAGCATTGCAAGGCACGTTGGTTCGGCTGCGTTGGTTGAGCTGCACGCTAGGCAAACATGTAGATCGACAATGTTGGGCGGAAACCAAACACCACAACATTTCCAGAAACTAACTTGTTCACACCTACATACAATCATGAGTCCATACCGTGTCTGGTCTGGTTTGTTATGTTAGCAACCTAGAATGCATTGAACACATGTATTCGATCACACAGTGTGTGGGGAAGAATAATTATTACTTTCTCAGTTGCGCATGTTGAGTGCTCGTGTAGGCAATGAATTTGGGTTTGTGCATCAATAAAGCCGCAAACAACGTTGGGAATAATGGCCCTTGCTAGTGCATGAAGAAAATGTCGTTGTTCTCAAGTTTGTTGTTCAGGAGGTTGAAAGTATGCTGTGGAATGGTCACTATGTCAAAAAATGAGTAATTATTCGTATTCACAAAATTGACTGCAGACTGTCGAATGATTTCGAGAGTACATACTATTATCCCCTAGTTTGTGAAGCTGTCTGCATCCTTAACACGTGACATGACATCACTCAATAGGATGTTTTGGAAACAGTGCAATGTGAGCACGGGAGAGTTCTATCCAAGGCAGAATGATGTCACATACCAATGCACATGTGGCAATGGTACAGGCAGTGCGCAATGGTTTGAAATGTTACTGTAATGTGGGAAACGTTTGCTAGAGATTAGTTTTCGCCATTTTCGTGACCATCACACATCCGCGAATATAGATCGATGCAAAATTCTCTATACATCGATTGTAGACAATACAAAATCCCACGGAATAGATGAAATTGTGAAAGTTTCTCGTCATGATCAAGCAACATGATTGAAAAAGGGGAAATGTGCACGCCGCGGAGAGTTTTTCTTTACAGTATGTGAATTTTTCTATCGCAGACCCAATAGTAGCATGCTCTGGGTGATTTATTGTACTTGATTTCTGTCATCTTAATCTTATGTAAACAGAGCTGACTATAACGTCAGGGCTCACAGCAACCATGCCAAAACCTCGATTACGTGGGAGGAAATCTTGGATTTGATCACCATAGAAACGAACTCGCGTGACCGCTAAGCGCAGGCGTAGAAAGCAGTCGCACAAGGAGATTTTGACTTGCTTGGGCTTAGTTGCTGTGACAAGGACGGAGTCGTGAATGGTGAAGGAGATCTCTATTTCATTTCGGTTGTTCTTGTTTCCTTCCAAGTGGATTATTTCGCGAGCAGTGTTGGCCTTATCGGCCGAAGGCTTCATTCAGACTGTCCGCACACGGAGTCCTGCGAAAAGTAGCCCTGAGCAGAATCCTGCAGTCATTGACGAAAGAGTTCAACATCTACAGCCGGGCAGCTACGCCGCTGATGCACAGGCGCGGGTGACGGGAGAGGGAAAGGACTACCGACTAGCATTCCTTGACGGCATGGAGCAATGACTCGCGTCGTGTTCTAGTTTTAGTTTCTCCGCCGTGAAGTCCTGTTGTGTAAACGTAAATATACGGCTGGTCTGCGAAGAGCCGTGTAGCGCAGTGGTGACGATGTGGAGTTGTGAATTATTTGATTCGCCACTCCGTTTCGTTGCAAGAGAACAAGTCCAATGGCTTCGCCGTTGTGCTGGCCATGTATCTCTTCGGTCTGCCATAACCATGGTAACTCCTTGAGGACACAGCGATTGAAGCGCCAGGCGAGTAGCAAAAACATTTCAAAAAATTTCTTTGCTGCTATTGTTGTTTCCGCATTCACAACAAGTGCAGCGCGCGCGGTTCTTCCTCGCGGGTGCACTGCAGATAGGGTTGCCTTTGAAATGTTCGTTTGTACCCGTCTCTGGCCCGATTTTGATGGCCAATAGCTTAAAATTTTCAGTAGGAAAATTAAAGGAACTTCTCCGAGAGACTTTTCAATTTTAGTACAATAATCCAAATCAGAATTACGCCTGCACCAACTGATACTTTGGCTCCATATGTACGCCTAACGGTATCGATTAAAACAAAAATACCTCTCGACAAATCCTTACAATGGGTATTGAGAGTATGTTCCTAGAGTTTCATGAATGCACCCCACTTTCAAGTTTTCAGAAATATCTGCCTGATCGCATGTACACGATTCTGGCATGTTGGCTGGCTCGTGTGACAGCGGCCTGTCCAAAATGGCGCCCACGCTTTTGTGTGATGCTGTGAGCCCTGAACGTGAGACATCTGTGGAAAGATTGACGAAAAACTCAAGCAACCCGAAAGGACAACAATATTGTGTGAGATGCAGCTTAACCCTTTGCCGGTCTAACTCAATGTATGTGAGGGGTGGTCACGCAAATACATGAACACACAACCAGCAATAACTCAAGAACCATGTGATGTAGGTATGGGTAAACCATATATTTTCAAAATCTGTGTGCCTGAACGCGTCCAGAAAATTCAAATATGACTAGGTCCAGGCAAGGATAGGGACCATGGTAGCCCTTCAAGTTGAGAGAAAATACAATTGCGAATGAAATACACGAATATCACAGCACGAAGGGCATACCAAGTTCGTGATGGAGCTGAAGTCGTACGATAAACAATCAGGTAAGGGCTACGTCTTTACAAGAAATGTAGGCTCTCTACAATACCGCCATTGAACACCAACACCTCGCCATCGGCGCTACGCCAGCAGCAGCAATTCCCATTGCACGATATCGCAGTTTCGGTTTGTTCATCTCAGCGCTGCTCGCGTCAGATTCACTCTCGCTCAGATGAGTACTCAGGCGCGAGCTTACGCATGCCGTGATTCTCACGGCCAGGCGAATCAGCTGATCGCACCTGACGAGTCCTTGTGACAGTCGCTGTCGCCGTGTCGGCAGCAAGAAGGCTTCCTCTCTGTTTGGAGAATTTTGTTTCTTCATTCGTGGACGATATATTTTTGAACTAGCAGGACTCAACGGAGCTCTTTTTCTCAACACACTACACTGCAAAACCTCCCGGGACATCCAGCCTGGACTGGTGATGTTACTGCTCTCAGAGCGCTTGTCAAACACGGCCCCAAGAGATGCACTCGCATTCTTGAAATGCGCGCATGGCGGATGGCCGTCTTTTCCAATTTCAACAAACTTCAGTCGATCGATACTGCAAAAATTTGTATGGTAAGCATGGTTGTTTTGCACATCGTCAGAAAGCTTTGGACCTCAGCTACGCGTGGAGCGCCATTTTAGCTGTCTCCTAGCAACAATACCCCAAAAAAATGAGGGCCAAACGTACCGATACTATAGTATCGGTACGCTTATGGTAGACCGGTAAAGGGTTAAGGCCGATTCATACTTCATTTCGCGTAAGGGAAAGCCATCGCGTGACCGTCGCGCTACTGCTTTCCCATACGCGAAATTGTTGAGCTCAGATCCACCTTTTCATGACGCGACTCGTTCCCGTACGCAAAATGGAGTATGAATCGGCCTTTAGACACGAATGAGTAGCCACAATGTGACGTTTCTGACAATCATGTCCTAGGCTATGCACCATGTGATGTTTTGTGATGATTCTGTCTGAGCAGGTCCACCAAGCGCACCAGAGGACCTCTTCGCGGTCCGACTAAACTCAACTTCAGCGACAAGCAATTTCAAGGTAATAATATTTTCATCGCAGTTATTGATGCATGACCATAATATAGCGCGATGTTTGTAGGTGGGAATAGGGGTTTCTGTGCTGTACGGAAAACTAGAGGGGACATCTTGCACTCCCGGCGCTCACGGATTCAGAGCTCTCTCTCTCTCTCCCTCGTTAATGTTGTCCGCTCTAGTTGCAATGGCTGGCAGTTGCACGGATGTGGACTGATCAGCTGCAATAGTTAACTCAATAGGTTGATATGGTCATGCAACAGCAAGCAGACTGGGACTTCTATAGCATCTCTAAGTCTCACAACATCTTGTGTCCATCAGACAATGCAACCGGAATTATGAAGAGCGGCAGTTCTGTTGCTATTCTGAGCTTTGCTTGGCATGACCCTCAGGCATTGCCACTGCGATCGCGAATTCCCGTGCGTTTCACGTTCATGCGTGGCTGTGTTGGACAGTTTTGGCAAAGAACATGGCACGCCTTTAATTATCACAGATGGCTGTGAACTTTGACGCTGTGTAAACATGCTTGCTTATATTAAGCTTAATCTAACTTCAATGTGATCCGAAACTCAGATGTTGAGACAATAATATGTAGAGAAAGGAAAGATAAAAAGGAACATATGGTAGAGTAACTGTGCATCACTGTAACTAGATATCATATACAGTCAGAAAGTGCAACAACTAGGCACAACATGTGAAGAGTACTGAGACATTCGACGACCTGACGCCTGGCTCCAACACGGCTCTCTTCTTAACCTAGAACCTTCCGAGTTGGAAGGCTTTTGGTTGGCGCTTCGGATATGTTTGAGAGCTAGGTGTCAGGTCGTCGAATGTCTCAGTACTCTGTAAGTTTTGGGCCTAATTGTTGCACTTTCTGACTGTTTATACTTCCACCGTATACAAAAAATTCGTGACATTTTTCAACATTGTTTTTGAGCAAGAATCTGCTCAACAAACTGTGCCAAAGGCTGTCATCGACAACCCCCATTCATGTCGAGGTAAGTTTGGTTGATCACGATCAGATTCTCCACGGAAGCCATTCGCGTGAGGACGTTGCTGACAGGAACTCGCGAGTCAATTGAAAAGAAAGCCAACACTTACTTGCTCGAAACTGACACAGTGACGAAGTAGAGCTTGCGGCTGGAGCACAGAGTCGCGCGGCACTCGCTGCCCTGAGGATGGACAGGTTCGTAGGTCTACTTACGGTGCGCGGCCTGCAGATTGAGAACACAAAGCTGTTCCTCTCGCATGGCAAGATTAAAAATTTCAGTTGTATATCAACCAGCGCAGACTCCAGATCCGAATGTCGACAACCTGGCTATTTTCGCATTTCTACAGTCAGATGTCTCTGTCGCGAAGGGGAATCGCAGGGACCTCCTCGAAGCCATTGTAGAATGCTGGGACGAGTGAGTATCCTGCTAACAAATTATGAAGCATGGGGGTGTGCTTGTACGACTCGTTTTACGGCGTAGTGGAGGTCGCGGGCTGAAACGACTGAATACTAGTCGACATCGATTCGTATACAGCTCTGGAGATGAAGAGGACGTAGCCAGAGTATCGCTTTGGATCATCACTGCCACTGAAAAGAAGCTGCACGAAATGCGAGCGGAGGCAGCATCGTCCGTTGACAATGACACGAGTGACGAAGACTCTGAATAAACTCAATCTCATTCGTCTGAGTTGCATTTTTTCTTTGTGTTTAGTTTGCAAACAGGTTAGACAATGCCATGAGTGTTATTCCGAGTCAAACGGCACAATTCCAGAGCTGTGTGGAGCCTTCCAAAAAGTCACGAAGTTTTTGTATTTGGAGAAAGTATTATCTAGTTACAGTTCCTCCTAACTCGTATCCATATGTTCCTTTCTTTTTCCTTCTCAGTGTGATCTGTTTGGCAAGTCACCCTGATCTCTGCTGAATAGACCCAAAGCAGTCAAAATGACTGCCTGTGCCGGCATTGACTATTACGGTAGTTTGTTTCCACAATGCCCTGGCCCATGAGGAAGACATAATGAATAAAATCAAGCTAAAAAGGATATGAACGCAGTTTTATACCGCCAGGGTGGTTGGACATATTCCTAGCATGAAGAACAGAGAAATTATGCTGCTGAACGAGCTAATAGATCAAAGATTGAGTGGATATACCTGCAGTTTACACAGAGGGTTGTAACTCAATCACAGCCATTCCGTTCCCCGAGGCGCAGGACACAAAGGCCAATACTTGGTTGTTACATCATCGTAATTGACATTACGAAAACCAAGGACTACGACATGACGAAAAAGCAGAGTACACTCAAAGAGACGAACAAGAAGACTGACAAAAGGACTCTTGACTACAAGATCGCGCATGCTCATATCACACATGCATGCGACTAAACGAAGACAGTTTGGAGAAATGTCATCACACGGGAAAGCAACCTATAAACATACAACAGAATTGGATTTCTGTTTCAAAGAGATCGGAAGAGGATTGGTTCCTGCAGGAGCCTGCTAGATTTGCTCGACACGAGTACCCTGGAATATTCTGCAGATCCATTTGTATTGATTGCAACAAGTTGATATCAACTCTATAGTAGTATTGACCTTTTCATCCTCTGCAAGCAAATGCTTTTTTCCTAGGGCATTATTGACTACTATAACGCGATAATCATTCTCGGCGTGCAAATTTTTTAAGAATTGCCCTGGTTCCCGATAAACTTTTTCATCTACTCAGTTGCATCTTGTACTGTCTACAATCAAGGTATAGAGCAGTTCGCGACAATTTATATTCGCAAATGTGTGATTGTCGCGCACATAGCGACGATGATTTAATCTCTAAGTTTTTCAATCTACGGAATGCGGGATAATTTACTACTTCTCTATGCTGCGGATAATAATGATAATGATATGAACAGGTCACATATTGCCCGCATAAAACAAATCATACGAGGGTCATGCATCTGTCAATGATCGTTAACCAGAGTTGCTTGTTGGTGGAGAGGTTGAGGCATTCCTGAATCGGCACATTCAGAGGTTTGAGGTCTTCTTTGATGTTGTCGACCCATCTCTTCTGGGGTCGTCCACGGGGGCGATTGATGTCCGAAGTATTGGGGACTAGCTGCAGTGTCTTGTAAGAGGCTGCGTCTGGTCCTTCCCGGGCAACGTGCCTCAGCCACAAGAAGCGGCGCTCTTTACATGTTTGCGGGTTTGGGGCTTGGTTGGTCTTTCGGTAAATATTCGTGTTGGATATGTGGTGAGGGTGGACAATGTTCATAATATAACGCAGCTTGCGACGATGCTACGCATCTAGTCGATCCTCCAGCTTCTTCGTTAGTGTCCAGAGGCCACAGTTTTACAAGAGTACAGGCAAAATCAGAACTTTAACTATACATCCACGAGATTCAATACTGTGATAATCCCAAGCAATTGAACCGAAAGCAACTCCAATGCTGCGGATTGTTCATGAAATTATACAAAGTGTGACAAGTTTGCATTAGAGTAATGCCAAAGTGATAAGCAACTTAGCTTGTAAAAGACCATTTTCTGGGAATTAAAAAAATAAATTTCACGGTTCGCGTGAGACTCGGCTGGAAGTCGAGTTTTCCGCATCCGCAGTGGGAACGCCACCACCCTCTAGGATCAAAGGCGCAGATGCAGCGCCTAAACGGTGGGAGGTGAGTAGATCAGACCCACCACCAAGTGGTCAAAGACCGAAATCCATGTTACCCTCGTGCCAGGCCACGAGTTCCCAATTTACTGTGGGTCGCAGCACGGCTGGAAAAATTCCTTCCGCTTCCAAGCAGGACCTGGTACCCTCTGTTTCTCAATCCTGGTCTTAGACCATCCCACTATGCTGGAATTGCTAGTGAATTTATTATTAGCCTGTAAACATTTCTTTACACAAGTTTGCTTCCTGTGTCTTGTTTGGTGTATATAGGCTCCAAAGCAAGAAGAGCGAGTATATGAATTGTTTGGCTCCTACAACAGTGTGGAATGTCGGGGTGAAGGCCGATGGGTTTGCAGCAGGCCTAGAGTTGCCAATTGTACTGTAATTGGCCTATTCTTCTGGCGATGTAAGTACTATTGTACTCCTATGCAATGTCTGCTCTGGGATTTCTGATCAGCCGCGTACACGTATACCTGGCACACCTCCTCCAAAAGGGTCAAAGCCGGCTATGTCCAAGTGCGGTTACTGCATAAACATGAACATATGGGAGCCATGAATGTTTTTGAACTTCTTGATATATATATGACGCTTCCACGAAATGGAGCCGAACGCTCTATTTGCAGCACCTATTCTTGCCTGAATACCCTCTGCGGACCCTAACGAAAGAGCCAAGCAGCTTGACAGATCGCCAAGAGGAGTCGGCTTTAGTTACTGTAATATTATTGTGTTTTCTGATTATTTAACATTAGGATCTTCTTTGAATTGGTCACTTGATTTCTCGACCATCTCCTCGACTTCTCGCCTCTCCGTGTTATGGATTGTTGTATCGTCTGCATATTGGGTGGTTGGTGCCCTGCAAAGATAAGTGCGATGGCATAGGATCAATGTGGCGCATGGCTCCCTCAGCATACACGTTGTACATGATGGGAGAGAGCGGATCCCCCTGTACTACTCCGATATTTGTAGCAAATGCTTTGCCTAAATGAGAACTGAGCATCACTCTCACCGTCGTGTCCGAGATCAGAGTGGCAACAACATCAGTGGCAGCTCCAGAGTCTGAAAACTGCGCCAACGCCTTCTCACGGACAATGGTATCAAATGCTCCGCTGGAGTCTAATAGTGCGGCGGAGTATTTCCGGTCATCGAGTAGTGCACGTTTGCACATGACAACACAGGTATAGAAAACTCCGTGAGCCGTGGAGCGTCCAGGTGTAAAGCCTGCCTGACTTTCACGTACATATGGAGGTGGTAGATTGTTGTGAACGCATGGTAATGATGCGGGTCAGCACCTTGCTAACAACTGATAGGAGCATGACCGGTCTGTAACTTTTCGGTGCACCCACAGGTTTTCCTCGTTTGTATACTGGCGCCAGGAGGCCACATCTAAGGTTAGGTGGGCAATAATGGAGTTTCTTAATGGAGTTGAATAGGGTAGTCAGCCATGGAGTAATGACAGTGGAAGCCGTACGTAGCAGTGTCGCACTGATCACATCACATCCAACAGCGCCTCCGATTTTCTGGTGCATGATGGTCTTCCTAATCTCTTCGGAGGTAAATTGTTCGTCTTCTGCCGTACTGTAGGGATGTCAGCGAACGCACTGCGCAGGCCTCTGCGCATGCACTATGTCATCGATTTTTTGAACGTGATCGTGGCCTATAAAGAAAACATGGCCGCGGTCTGTTTGCACCGCTGGGAGTCGTAAAATTACTGTTCTTCTGTCCCCGCGACCATTCAAATCATACGCGATACGGAGGACCCACGTACTCACCACGTTCTCCCCGGTCGATTTCTCAGAAAGTTTGCACATCGTGAAACACCAGTATGAGAGGTATACAGGCCAATTTTCAAGGGATTGCCGTGGTTGGATCGTTCCAAAATTGGACTTGCATTTCTCGCTCGCGGCCATTTCTTGCGCGATGGAAGCGCCCTATCCTGGTGAGTAACCTGCATCGCGCTTGGTAGAGAGTTGCTGCAATCAGCTCCCTGATGTCTTCGTTGCCATTGTCAGAAGCGATGGACCATGAATTTGTTTGAGAGTCTCTGGATTCTACTTTTCCTCAGCCTAGTCAGCCATTCCGTGCATCTTCTAAGCACGATTTATTTTGCAAAAAAATGAAAGTGTTTATGAGTTCTTGTCGGCCGCGCGTAGATGGGCCAGGCTGGGCTGCGCAGTGCGTTTGCTGATATCCCAAGAGTAAGTTAGGTTGTGCCGGGCTGGTCGCTCAGGTAAAACACTGAAATACTTGCTGAATTCCTCCAAATTCCAATTTACATTTGTGACGATTTCACCACTACCATTTGCGAGTCGTACTGGTGAAGGTTTGTCAGGATATCGAAGTGCTTTTAGCTGTTTAATGGCATTAAAGTACGATCTTGTATCCGGGCGTAATTCATCCACCGCCTCCGCTTTGTGCTGCCAATATAGGTCACCTTCTTTTTTGAGTAATGCTCGGATACGGTGAAGGATCTTGTTTCTACTTTGTGTTAGTTCTTTCCGTTTATTTGGATCTTTCTCCATATGTATCCGGCTGTGTTTTTCTTTTTGTTGATTTGATAGCTCAATAACAGCAGGGCTCGTATTTCTAGCAATCCTCTTCTGTGGTTTCTTTCTTCCAAATGCCTTTTCCGCTGCTGCATAGGTAGATAGCACAAATCTCTCCCAGGTTTGGTCTATTGTGGACATATCTTCAGGCGGGGTGTTTATATCTGACAACGTGCTTGTTATGGCATTTTTGAAACTTTCAGCAGAGTCTTGTGTGGGTTCGTTGTACTTGATGAAACAGCGTCGTTGGTTACTTTAGATGTTGTACACCGCCAGAATGTCAGTCGAAAATCTGCCATAACCGGATGGTGATCGGGTCTTGTTGTGAATCCACCGTATGATCTGGCATTCACAATGCGCACTGTGTTTGATCTTCGCATAATCACAAAATCAATCATGTTTCGAACAGTTTGGCCATCCCTGTGTACGAACCCATCTGAGAACCATGTCGAACGATGCTGCATACGATGCTTGATCATAGTGTTGCATAAATGAGATTTTGCTCTTCACACAGCTCAATCAGTCTCACACCGTTCGCATTGCTTGATACGTGCTTTGAGAAACATCCCACTGCGCCTCCTGAAGCAGATCGGGCGTTCCGTAATTTTGCATTCAGGTCTCCCAATATCATAAAACCATCTCTTCTACTGACCTCCTGGGCAATACCTCGTAGTGCGGGTAGAAGTTCGCCATTTCGCAAAGGAACCCATAATGTCGCTAGGCTATCAACATTGAATCTTGTTGCTGGTCTCCGTGGACTTCCAGATCTATTACTAGGTCGAAGAAATAAACAAAATTAAACATGCGCCCATGTCAAACAAGGAAGTAGCAAATGTTTTGCTCCATAATAATTCTGATGACATCATTATGATGTCATGCCTACTCCATGCTCTCATTGTCATGTGCTCTGTGTTATGCCCTGTTAAGATGTGAATGAGAGCAGCAGTCTACCTGTTACTTTCAGTGACCTCTGTGCGGGAAAAGCGTACGATATTCACATCCGCGCAAGGAACGACAAAGGCTACGGACTAAACTCGTATACGCAGCTTGCCGTCGATGCCAGCAGATCTAATAATGGGACCTCGTCCAGTCCATCCAGCACCTCAAGCCCAACGGACACCTCGTCCAGTCCATCCAGCCCCTCGAACGAAACAGAGACCTCATCCAGTCCATCCAGCCCCTCAAACACAACGGAGAACCCGCTAACAATCCTAGGTGGAGTAGTTTGTGATGATATTGTACATGTTTCTAATCACTCACAGACCCCAGTACAGCCGTTTACACATTACACATTAGGATACCTGAACACAAACAATCAAAATATGGTCTCTTTGCTGCATACGTCATCAATCTTTCAACAAATGTTCGAGCATGGCCCATTCTCAGGCTGGAAACAGAGAAAACAAACTTTCCGGTATGGGCCATGCCCGAAACGTAGATGACGTATGCAGGAACTCTTGAGTGTTTGCGTTGAGGTATCCTAATGTGTATTGAGATGGAACATGTCAAAATTCATGTATGCATAGTAGCTGACCAAATCTGACCCCCTATCAAAAGAGACAGCGCGTTTCCATTTCAATTATATCATTAACAATCCATGCAAGGGCCTAAGAGATCTCATGAGCCTTGGTGCTGCTTGTGTGTCGGATTTCCTTCGCCACGACTTTAGTTTGACCCGTAGTACGACACAAATAATTATGTATGTAGATTAGGATCAACGCACAATAACACAATGACTGACTACAGAGGTGATCCACCTTCAGCATCTGTGGTACTTGCGCCTTCCTTGTAGAAACTGCACATGATGGTGTTCGATATCCAACTCCTCGGCCAAGTCTTACAACTAGCAGCCCAATGTTTTTGACGGTATACTGCATAATATTATAGGGATGAGCTGCAGTGGTCAACTGGAGAGTAAATCTTGCTTCTGTTGGTCTCACATGCCAACATACATTTCAGTGCAACAGCAGCACACTCGAACACAATTACTTTGACAGAGTATACAATACATTATACTGGTTAAATGCTCGCATTCAAAGACAGTAGTTGATGGGAAATGTCTCCAAGACATCAACGACGACATTACACTATTTTTCTCTTACTCATTTCAAATTGCTCACACGTTCGATACGGCTGTTGGACAGAGAGTGTACTGATAACCGCGCAGCGTATTGTCCAATGTGTGCTGGTTTGCGCAGCCTCGACTTAAGAACAATCAATTTCATACTAGAATATTTTTCCTGTCCGGATACTTGTAGAGTGCCATATGTCCTATACTGAAATTTTTCTTTGGGAAAATGGAGAGCCGAAACACTGAAATGTCCCCATCTACTCCCATACCACGTCTATCTCTTTGACGTCATAAATCCGGTCTGGGCGAGTTAAGTTTGAAAAAACATCCAACTTCTTTGTGACAAAGAGAGCCAAAAACTGAAATTTCCCCATCTACACCCATACTTTGTCTATCTCTCTGACGTCATGAATCCGGTCTGGGCATCGGTGGGCGAGTTAATGATGTCATCATGATGTCACCATATTTAGTTCAAGCTGGTATAACTCGGGAACGGCTGCTCCCATCAACCTTGGACCTGCACCATCGCTAAACTTTGTATGGTATAGTCTTGTGGCGTCTCCCCTACCCCCCCCCCCCCCCATGCCCTGAGACTATGTGCTCACGAATTTGACGTTTCTGATCATCAGGCCTTGTTCGATGCGCAATGTGATGTTTTTTGATGATGCTGTCTGAGCAGATCCACCAAGCCGACCGAAGGTGATCCACTCTGTCCGCCTAAGCTCAGCTTTAGCAGCATTCAATGTCAAGGTGGGAATATTTCGAATGACATTTTTCTTTCATGACCATGGTATAGTGTGATCCTCGTAGGTGTGCTTAGGGGATTCTGTGCTATAATAATAGAGGACATATGCTGCACTCTTTAGTCCGCAACTTCCTCGGGAAACAAAAACTTCGTGACTTTCTCACATGACTTTACAAGGAGTTATTGTGCTCAACAAAAGTGTTCTATTGGAAGAGAAACACTTCAACATGCTCAATAGACATGTGTACAATATCTACGAGGTCGATGGATGGGAATAGAGTCTCAGTCTGAGTCGCCATCGCTCGATTCATCGCGGCTGGAACCAACCAAAGTGGCAGGTCGATCGACGCGTTCTCGCATGTCACTGAGCACTTCCGCATCCCTGATTGCCATCGCTGTTACCAGTACGTGATTTACACCATTGCCTTCCCTAGCATCTAGGTGAAGACCGTGGTGGTTTGTAGTCTGGTATCGGCTTGGCTCTCGAGAATGCCCCGGAACGACGGGTACAGGCAAAGCCAAACATTTCGCATTTTCTCCGCGTTGTTGTCATCATCACGGCACAACTGCTGCGAGGAGATCTCGACTGTCCTCCTTTGGAACCAAAGAGACATTGGAGTGCAGGCTGCTGAAAAAGGCAAGCTCCTCCACTGAACGACGACTCGATTTTAAACTTTTTAGCTTTGCTTTGCTGCGCAAAGTGATGGTTGTCACTTCTTCTTTGCGTTTGGAGTTTTGACATCTTGCCGACCTGTTCTCACTGTGGCTGATGATTTTGGGGTTTGTGCAGATTTCTAAACACTAGCTGCTATCCCTTGCACACTCTTCTTGCTCCTCAGTGCCATTGCCCTGCTCTTTCTCATTCTGAACCAAAAACTCGCAGCGAAGTGCAGTGAGCAGTACTTTTGTTGGCAATGTGCCTGGCGAACCAAAATGCAAAACATCGTCGCTTCGCTTGGTTTACAGCTGGACACCTTTACCTTACGATGACTGTCGGCTTTCCAGAATGTGAATCATGTTAAGGTTCGGAAATGTCAACTGCTAGTGTTTTAGGCCGACAGAGCCACTCAGAGAGCGACAGAACAGCAGCAAAAATTACATAGCCAGCAATCGCATGTCACCACGTACATTGAAAATCAACATAATTTTGCGAATCAACCTTTTTTTCAGCATCAGTTTTCAACGAGGACGAAGCAAAGTCGGCCGAACGAAGCCTAGAGGAAGAAAATCACCCTCTCCACTTCACCATCACGATACTGACATAGATACGAGATGAAACAACTAAAAAATCCACAAGAAAACTGTACGGCCATCATCGCGCTGACTTTGGTCTGAGAATTTCTATCACGATCAAAAATGTACGAGGAGCACTCAAAAATAAGCCACAGACGTACCTTTATCGCTCTCTACTCCTTTTTCAAGGCACAAAAGTCGACTCTCCACTTTCAAACCAGGAACCAGACATACCAGTGGTCCTTTTCAGCTGCTCCACGAGCGCAGGAAAGGTTCACCAAGGGGCGCAGAGCAGCATCCATTCCAGAAAAAGAGCTAAAATACGAGTGAGACTGCATACCTGAGTACATGAGTACATGTATGAGTACATGCAGAAAATAGTCAATTTCAGCGTTTCTGCTCCAAACAGCAACTAGCTTCGACTAGAAACAAGATTACACCAAAGGATCAAACAACAACCATTTTCTGCAGTTTTTTTGCAGATGGCTTCCTTGTGCTTGGCCCAGCACGCCAAAAATCACACCTCGGAGGAGTACAAAAATTACAACTCTCAGATGTCCTCGATTGCTGGCCATGGTGAAAAAGTCACATAGTTTTGTTTCTGGAGGAAGTACTTTTGCTCGACATTCATATCCTGGAATATTCTACAGATGCCGGTGTATGGATTGCAATATGATAGTATCAACCCTATAATACAGTATGTGTCTATCCATCCTCTGTAGGCAAATGTTTTGTTCCCAGCGCATTGTTGACTGCGAGGGATAATTTACTACTTTTCTATGCTGAAGATTGTTTATGAAATAATACAAAGTATGGCGAGTTTGCAACAATCGACCAACGTCAAGATTCGAATGTCGAGCATGTTTGACAGTAATGAGCAGCTCACCGCTCACCGTGTAAAAGTATTTTCCTGTTCGCACCTTTCTCTCAAGTGAAATCGCTGCTAAACATTAAGACTTGGCAGGACTGAGCAAAGGATTAATTTACTTAGGCCACCAAAGTTAAAATTGGCGCTCATCTTCACTCTTATCTGAAGAAGAAAATGCAAATTTTGAAGCATGCCACGATCAGAAAACGCTATGTACGTGACATTTTACATGCCAGTAAGCAACTCAGCCGAAAATCCTAGAAACCCACACGTCCTCCTCGTGACTATAGTCGCTGGAGGAAGAGCTCAACATATTCGATCCGAAGAGTGGCTGCTGCGCATTTCTTATCTTGTTCAACATCTCCTCGTCTCGAATCGTGCTCACAGGCAGTCACCTGTCATGCCTGTCATCTTGCCGCACAGAAACTGAGTGAGACTGCCCGTGTGGTGGCTGCATGTGTTATCCCTGTTCGTTGCAATGATTCCTTTGTTTGAGGCGAAAAGGTAACACCACAACATGCCAGTTTTTCAAATCGCCTCTTGCACTTGTCGTACTTGCTGAGCAGCACCCAGGCTGGTGCTTGTAGTGCAGTGATAGCTTCTGCTTGATGTAGCACCTGTGCGTACTTGACCTAGCGAATGCACCAGTGACAGTGTCACACTGACTCTGGAGAAGGCGTAACTCTTTTCTGCGAGTTTCCTGCAAGTCCTTGGCACGAGAATTTCCCTCAGGAGTTGGCGTATATTTTTTATCAGCTCCATTGCCCGATCCTCTGTGAGCTTCAGAGTGTGTCCACCGGATTCATCTCGGTTTCTGGAGATTTCGACATGAGTTGTTGTTTCTTTGTCAGTGATTTGCTGGCGATATCTCTTCACTAGGCGCTTTACTTGCGGGAGCACTCCAATTCAAGCTCGCTAAGCGCTTTTCAGCTTTTCTATACCTCCCTGCAGTAAACCATCCTTGGAACCAGGCAGCTGGAAGTAGGCAAAAACTGTACTCGCCATCACTCTGATGTGTGAATATTTGTGACCTATTTTTATGGACTGGAGCTGAGGTTGCAGCATTTCATTGCGCTGACGGAAGTGTTCGTCGGTGGCAGCTCCAATCAAAAACGATTCAAACGAACCGATCATAACTTCTGTGATGGTTTGTGCTGCCATGTTGTCGGATGCAATCGTCTGGTTATGTTTGGATGATGAATCAGTGGTTCCATGCACTATGACACAGGCTGAACACAGAAAAATCAAGTGCGAAGATAAGGGCCAATTGTACGTAACTTGGCGGACCAAGTCTAAGAAGAAAAGAAGACCAAAGAGCTACAAGCTACGCTATGATATAGACATTCCTTCTGCATGTTTTTACTTCCTGTGTCCTGTGTGGTGTTTACAGGCTCCAAAGCCAGAAGATCGAGTAGCGGAAATTTATATCCAATACACCAGTGTGGAATGCAGGGGTAACAAACGATGGGACTGCAGCAGGCATAGAGTTAAAAACAGTTGCGCTCTACAGGGCTTCCTCTACTGGCAATGTAAGTACTGGGGTACCCACATGCAGTGTCTGCTCTAGGATTTCCAACCAGCTAGGTACACATGCACCTGCCATAACTGCACCCACCGTGTCAAAGACAAAGGTACGTCCAAGTGCGGCTACTGCATAAACATGTACATCAGGGATCCATCAATATTTGGGCCACGATCAGCTAAAACATGTCTTTGAGGTTTCGTAAAAAAAAAGGTGAAAAATGACGGAATTAAAAAATGTTGTCGAGCGCGTTCAAGCTGTGCTTCATTCATGAACCGGTGGCGATCATCTTCTCAAATTTTGTTCAAACACTTGTTTGGCAGCGTAGTCAAGTAATTGGTGAGCAAAGACGTGCGATCAAGAGGCCTTCAGCAATGCTGCACCGGTCTACAAGGAAGCAGGGCATAGCTTAAGGATTTCATTTAGCTCAGACAAATGTCCTTCCGTTTTGAAATCTGTCCGGACATGCCCGGATATGTTCCACAACACATTCTCAGGGTGTTTCTTCTTCTTTTTTTTTAGTAGTACTGAAGTATTATTCACAATGACTCATCATGTGGACTTATCTCACACATTACTATGCACAATTCTCCAATTTATTTGTATTAGAAACTGAACTATTTTACTGACTCTATTTCTATTTCATACATCTGCTTCGTTTATTCCTTACTCTTTTCTTTCTATCTTTTTATTTTCTTTCCCTTGTCATGTAATCACTGTCACTCACATACAAATACCGTCATAAAATATAAAACACAAATTTTTCTCCTCTTTTTCTATTTCTTGTTTTTCATGAGCTTTAGCATGTTCATTCACATTCTTCATCATTTGTGAGAACTAGACCTGGTCTAGTGAGAAGGCATTCCACTGCCTGTAATTCTGGTGAAGTAAAATAAAGTAACAACAACAACAACAACTGACGACAAATGTATGTACAAGAAAGCGTTGCAGTCAAGAATTTTGCGAACGCGATATGCTCCTGGACCTTCGAATTTGCGTCGTGCAATAGCGGCAGCACCATCGTCCATCTCGCACAGTGCCTTCGCAATTGGAGCGAATTCATTTCGAGCGGGACACTCTTGCCTGCGGAAAAGATTCACTGCTCGTTTATGCATCTCCGTTCCAGCATGATCCTCAAGTTGAACGCTGATGTTCTCAGGTTCTTGGATCCGGTTATGAAAGCCTCGCTGAAGTTTTTACAACTGCGGACTCTGAGTGAAAAATAAAAAGATGACATCTTCCTCTCAAGAGCGAACAACTGCACTGCAGTTCAACCCATCGATTCAGGTGCGAAGTCGACACCATGTGCCAAAGGTCGAAAGTGTGAATTGACTGTGGCAACCGCGTTGCTACAGGCGGATCAAGTAAATATGGTGAAGTCCACGCCTGAGGCTACGGTGTAGACGTGTTAGTTGTACGATATGCAAGTCGCAGTTGGCACGAAGCGGCCTAAGAAAGCCCAACTCTGCATAAAAAGGTCGAAAGGTCGCTGCTCTTTTTTTCCTTTTTGACCGGACACTATGTCCGGTGAAAATAAAAACGTCCAGTCAGTTGCCGAAAATGGCCGGAAAATGTCCGATGTCCGGCCGTTAATATATGCCCTGAGGAAGCACTATCAGCCAGCGGATTCCCGGCCGCACTAACATTCAACAACGGCGGCCAGGCAAAGAAGAGCCGAGAAAGAAACAGAAACATAATTTCGTACAACCCGCCATTCAGCAAATCCGTGTCTACCAGTATCGGCCAGAGGTTCCTGACGCTGGTTCGAAAGCACTTCCCGGCATCGTCACCTCTTTCTAAAATTTTCAACAAAAATACGGTCAAGGTCAGCTACTCGTGTATGCCCAACATGGCCTGCATAATCAGGGGGCACAATCAGAAAGTGCTGGCCCCGGCCGACGTGCGAAAACCAGCAGAGGAATGCAACTGTCGAGCTAAACCCTCTTGCCCTCTGGACGGCCGGTGTTTGCAGGTGGTCTATCAAGCGAACGTCACGGCCCGGAGCTCAGGTGACGAGAGGCGGTACTTCGGGCTTTGCGAGACACCGTTCAAGACGCGCTATAGCAACCACCTCGCGACTATGAGATACGAAACGTACCGCAAAAGCACGCAGCTGTCGAAGCACCTGTGGGCACTGCAAGACCAGGGTGAAGAGTACGACATCAGATGGTGCATCGTCGACAGAGCAAAGACCTACAGCAACATCTCAACAAGATGCGGCCTGTGCTTAGCGGAGAAGGTCAAAATCATCCGCGCTGACGCAGCCACGCTCCTAACAAAAAATCAGAATTAGTATCAGAATGTCGACACCAGAATAGGTTCTACCTCTCGCGCTACGGCACTGGCGTCACTCAGTCACCTGCATGCCGCCACCAGGCCCAGGCCAGGCCTGCCTGCCGTCACTGTAACTAACGTGTTACTTGACTGTCACCCCTCCTTCTCTCCCTCCTTTTCTCACCTCCCATGTAATAACCGACTTAATCCGCACCATGTCTCCCTAATAACGTATCACTTGAAATGTCACACTAATGTCGCGCTTTTGCCACCTTTGCGCGCTATGCCGCCTGCTTTTTCGCGCTTTACTGACTTTGCGCGCCCTGTTTTAGCTACCTGCCTGGGTATAAATTTGGACCCAGATGATGTACAGGTTATCAGTTGTCTGAGGATTGCCTTAGCTTTGCTATGTGCATGAAACGAAGCGTTACAACAATGACCTAGCCGGCTGTCTCTATTCTCTTCCGCCTTTGTGGTAATGCTCCATCCTTGTGGTGTTGAGCACTCTAGGCAATCTGGGAACTCTCGCTATTATGTAAGTATTGTATGCCAGGCACCTACAGGACGGAGATTGCTATCTAATATGAATCCAGAATAATCCAGATAGTCAACAATTGTGCAATTTTGAACTACTATCAGAAATTGCACAGCCGATTGTTTCTTGAATTTTCATGCATACATACACCGGTACGCAGTATGCACTCGGCTGTTTAGGGAATGCTTCAGACCATTTTGATAGCTGGATTGTCTTGCCAGTGAGTGTCTAGATCAGAGAATGAGCAGTATTGCATTCTCCATCAATATGACTTTACCTGTGCCGCGTATGTACGGACGCGTGCGGCCAGTGATGATTCACCCTGGGATGCGCCGAGCACAGTGAGCCAACCGCTGCCACTGCACCGGCTGCTATCATAGCTGATGCAGTTGCTGTGGTTGCTACTCCAGGTACTCGGCATCCTCACTGTCCATCACATGGTTTTGTCTTGAAGTAGGTAGAGCTGCTGGGGGATTCAAGCTTTACGAGGCGCCCAAGAAAAAGAAAGACCCATTCTGGATCGCGAAGTCGCATATGATTCAAGCGCTGTATAAAACGAGTTGCTGTACTCTAGTCTAGGTTGCCGTAGAACACCAGGATCATATCAAGCATGTTTTATGACATTTCTCCATTCTGAAGTCAACACTGACCAGTTATAGCGCTGCTTGCCATTGCTTGTCTGGTCTTTGTCGTCAATTGCCTAAATTGAATGAATTTTGAGAAAAAATCGCCAAAAGTCGCATATCTAAATATGGTGTTAAGTCTCGTACAATGAAATCCTACAAAATGTCTTTGGATTCAGTGCATATGTCCATGCCCAACATCTCCAATCAATTTTGGACCAGAATATGCATTTTCAAAAATTGCCATTTTTGGCCCAGTGGGAGGTGATTTTCCGGTCAGGGCTGAAAGGGTTAAAGCTAGCCTAAAATTAGGCTCGGCGAAAATGGACGACAGCACCACAGAAAATGGCTCGCAGCGCAAGGAAACTTCATTCTTCTTCCCCGAATTTTTCAAGGATGATCACTAACTGGTATGGCCAGGGGTTGCCATTTTGTATTGGCACGGAAACGGAGCAACACTGGCACCCAGTGGCCTAGCTCTGGCTAGCGGCCCTCTCAAGCCTAATTTTAGGCTTCGACAAGCCAAGAGATACACTCCATTGTGTCCACCATGCATAATAATGTACCATGCATAGTAATGTCATTACAGAGGTTTAGCAAGACGAAATTTGCATTCATGCTCGCACTCCAAGGAAAGTCGAACACGGTGAAGGAATTTGCGTTATGAGAAGGATTAGGAAACTGAATTCTCACATGCACGACGCACACACACACATGTTGTACACGATTGGACATTGTGTATAGACAGTAGAGAGTAGTAAATTTATACTCCTGACACGAATCCGGGATTTGTGTTTCGACTACATTTCCGAACGAAAAATGGTAAAGTTCGCAATCCAGTTTTGCGAACCGAAAAATGTTGACCAACTTGAAAGCAACATTCATGATGCTGAACCTCCGCATTAAGAAGTCATGGGTTCTACTTGCACAGGATCTTTCAAACATTTTGTGTCATGCTCCCTCCATGCTCTCTTTGTCATGTGCTCTGTGTTCTGCCCTGTTAAGATGTGAATGAGAGCAGCAGTCTACCTGTGATTTTGAGTCGCCTCTGTGCCGGACAAGCGTACGATATTGGAATCAGCGCAGTAAACGAACAATTCACCTTTGGACAGTGGTCGTGGCTTTACGTCAATGGAAATGTTGGTGGGATCAGGCCCAGTCCATCCAGCCCCTCAAACACAGCGGAGATCTCATCCAGTCCACCCAGTCCCTCGAACCCAACGGAGAACCCGCTAACAACCCAAGGTGGAGTAGTTTCTGATGATATTGTACATTTTCTAATCACTCACAGACCCCAGTACAGCCGTTTACACATTACACATTAGGATACCTGAACACAAACAATCAAAATATGGTCTCTTTGCTGCACACGTCGTCAACCTTTAACAAATATTCAGGCATGGCCCATTCTTAGGCTGGAAATATAGATAAAACAAACTTTTCACTCACAAAGCAACTGTTCAGTACATGGGGTAGTGGTCTACCAGAGCAATCACACTCACCACCGTAGTGGTTTTCCAGAAATGAGTAGAAGCAAAAAACCACACTCGCAGCCACATACCGGTAATAGATAAATAGCCAAAAACCATCTAAATCCATCAAAGAACCGCCAGCAAGCGGGAGAAAAGGCCGTATAATCGAGTGAAACAGCATGGCCAGTGGTGAGCATGGGTGACTGGACAGCAGGGGATCGCCTGAAAACAATGACTCCCTACATTCGTAGCCGCGACCGCTCAACCGGGCTAGAGGAAAAACACGCCTTTCGGCCAAAAAACCTTTCTATTTCATTAATTATTCCTGCGCTGCCAGGCGGACCCAAGAATAGAGACAGCAAGAAATGGTATGTAATAACCAGTTATGTCATAATCATAAGCCACACACATTGCCATAGAATATCAGGAAGAACAGCGGAAGACCCTCATGAAACTAGGGTGGGTGGGCGGGCAACTTCAACTACCACAAGGAAAAACAAAGACCACGATGTCAGGTTGAACGGAGTTGCGCAGAACAAGAGCAAACGCATGAAAATATTTGCGAGTGAAAAATACGTTTTTTGCACTCTTTCGCTACGCTCAGCCGTGAAAAAACAAAACTTTCCTATATGGGTCAAGCCCGAAAATTTGATGACGTATGCAGGAAACATACCACATCTTGAGTGTTTGCGTTGAGGTATCCTAATGGGTAATGAGATTCAAGACAAAATGTTCCATAAGCAATCGTGGCAAAACAAATCTGACTCTATCAAAAGTGGTGTCACGTTTCCTTTTCAATTACATCGTGCACAATCCAACTACCCATGCGAGGAAATTAAGAGGCGCTTGAGCATTGGTGCTGCTTTCGACTCGCGTGTCGGGTTTTCTTGGCCACCACTGTAGTTTGCGCTTATTTCGAGCCATACACATGAACAGATCGTCCCTCGATACAATGAGTGCGGTTAGTACATAAACCCGTTTAGTGAATAGAAATCTGATATCCCCTGGCAAAGCGTGGTCTATGCAACTGTTTCCAGGTCCGGTTCCGAGATAATTAGTCAGCACAAAAATTCCTTGTAGCAACCCTTGGCCCAAATCCCTGGAGTGCCAAACTCACAGTATCAGAAAATTTTGTTCAAGCAGGACCAAGGTGAAAACACACACCTGATAAAGCAATAACATGTAACACATTATATATGTGTATCCGTAGATATCTTTTGGATATTTTCAGTCGTCTAATAACGAGTTGAGTGTCAATAATTAATGTTGTATTGAGGGTACCCGATATTAAGTACGAAATGTGCTTTTTATATCTTTAGATGCCAGTACTGCTACAAAATATGTCTTGTTGTAACTTTTTCGATGGACCAGAGATTATCCACTAGTGAGGGAGGACCTAACGTGTATACACTACTAGATTAGCATGTCAACACTATAACACACTAACAAACTGCAGAGGTGATTCACCTTCAGCGTCAGTGGTACTTACACCTTCTGGTAGAAACTGCAGATGATATTGTTCGATATCCAACTCCTCGGCCAGGTCTGTCAACTACCAGCCCTATCCACTGTTGGTAGGCTGCAGAACAGTAGGAGCTGCAGTTGTGAATAGGAGAGGCAGTCTTCAGACTGTCACTGTCACATACCAATGTACATTTCAGTGCAACAGCAGCACTCTCCCAACTGAATCTCTTTGACAGAGTATACAAGACATTCTACTGGTTACCAGTATATCTTTGCATTGACCGCCAGTCTTTGATTGGAAATAGTCTCAAAGACAACGTCGACGACAGCATTACACTATTTTCATTTACGGGTTTCAAATTGCTCACACGGCTTTGATCCGGCCGTCGGATAGATTGTGTCCTGATAACCGTGCATTGTACTGTACAACGTATGCTGGTTGAGCCTTTGTCAAATTGTGTGACCGAGACAATGTCACAGAGAGCCAGTTGGATTACGCCGACATCCGTCGTCAGCTTATGACGTGGTCCTGTCCACTCACTGCCATACTTTTCCGATTTTTGCTGATTCGGGACGTGCTTTGCAGAAAATAGAGTGCTTCCATAATACTTGCAGCACACACTTACTACATTCGCAAAGTAAGGTTGTAGCAACGCTATTGTCAGGTGACCAGCAGTCCTCCAAGCAAGCATCAGGGTCTGTAGTGTTGGCAGCAGTGGGAGGCTTTGTCTGTATTCACCAGATGCGGAGCTTCTGTCTAGTCACCACACCAGCAAATGGCCGTCATAGGCACTTCATAGCCAAAATATGCAATATGGAGACCATGAGGTTGCCGGTGGCACTTGGTCACCAGATGCACCAGGCCACAGACGTGTGAGCTACGCCCCTCGTCACAGTCACTTGCTTTGCTCTCGTCATCTTCTCTTCCGTGTAGTGTGGCTCTTTTGCATATTCCAGGACAACACTGGGTCGTCATCACTGGGTCGTCCTACTCACTCTCCTCGGAGTTACTACAGTATCTACAGGGCCAGGGAGCTAGATCTACAGTCTGAGCTATACATACAGTCTGAGCTAGACCTGCAGTCTGAGCTAGACCTGCAGTCTGAGCTAGACCTGCAGTCTGAGCTAGACCTGCAGTCTGAGCTAGACCTGCAGTCTGAGCTATACATGCAGTCTGAGCTAGACCTGCAGTCTGAGCTAGACCTGCAGTCTGAGCTAGACCTGCAGTCTGAGCTAGACCTGCAGTCTGAGCTAGACCTGCAGTCTGAGCTAGACCTGCAGTCTGAGCTAGACCTGCAGTCTGAGCTAGACCTGCAGTCTGAGCTAGACCTGCAGCCTGAGCTAGACCTGCAGTCTGAGCTAGACCTGCAGCCTGAGCTAGACCTGCAGTCTGAGCTAGACCTGCAGCCTGAGCTAGACCTGCAGTCTGTGCTAGACCTACAGTCTGAGCTAGACCTGCAGTCTGAGCTAGACCTGCAGTCTGTGCTAGACCTACAGTCTGAGCTAGACCTGCAGTCTGAGCTAGACCTGCAGTCGAGGGGAGAGGGGATGATTATAGTTATGGTAGATTTCACCCTAAGGGGACGGCAATACTCCACTTCCTGAAAAAAGGTTCTGTTTGTATGGGTGAGTGCCCAACAAGATGTTACTGAATGATGTAATCATGGAATTTATGATGTTATTCTAAATTGCATTATGTCATTCCGGATTGCATCCATTACATGTATTTGTGCTTGCGTGTGGGCAACCAAACAGCAAGAAACTGGTGGACAGGACCTGGTGACAAGCTGACGGCGGATTTCGGCACTACCCAACTAGCACTCGGTGGCATGATGCTATTCAGCCTGTTCTTGATAGCAATGCTGGTCTGCCGTGCATGTCGTCTTGGGACTCGGGAGCAACGATGGGGAACTCGCCGATGTCCAAATCCTGCGACCAGATCAAGGGATTTTGATTGTGTGGTTTGGCGCCAACCCAGCGGTAAGCTTGTGCTGAACATGCAACCTTTCAATATCTTATCCACTTTGCAAACTTATCCACTCTACGATCTTATCCACTCTACATTATCTACCTTCTTCACTGGCAAGAGTTTTACTCTCGAAACAGCTATATGAAGTGATTCAGTACCATGTGTTGCTTTCCCGATGGTGTGTTCTGGCGACGCATCGAGTTCGGCTGGAAAGCGTAGTCATTGTGTGTTAGTGGATGCGAAATCTCTACAGGTCAGTCATGGTGTGTTAGTGGTTGAGAAATCTATACAGGTCAAGTCATGGTGCGTTAGTGTATAAGAAATCTATGCAGGGCTGAATACTGCTGTTCTCTTTGATAGAACTAATAAATATGTTGATATAAGATTGAATGCCAAACCCTGCAGTAGTCATCTATTTGACAGTGTTACGTCCTTGGAAACAGAGTACTTGACTGGCTTGGGATTATTTACGGCCATGTCTATTTGAAAGCCGCATCATATCTTGCAATCGCTAGGTAAGAATTATTCAGCGTGACTCAGGCAGGCTGTTGGCCTTACAGGAGCCCCAACACGAGGTGCATTTGACAACATCAAGAAATGGATTTTTTTTTTTTTTTTTTTCACGGTTCGCGTGAGACTCGGCTGGAAGCCGGGTTTTCCGCATCCGTAGGAACGCCACCACCCTTCAAGGATCAAGGCGCAAATGGATGAAAGATACATAATGGACTGAACATTTCGGGGGTCTGCTGTAATGAAACACACGTCTGTAGGTCGACCCGTAGGGTGACTACTGACTAATTGTCTTCAAGTTGAAAATCGTAAGATTTTTTAGGGGAAAGGTTGTGAGTTATTGGATACAGTGCAATGTCTATGACCGAAGGAGGTTTGTATGGCTGGATCTGGTGGCAAGCAAGTTTGTGTGTTGGCTACAGAACATCCAAACTGGCATATTTTCCACTGACTTCCAACGGGTTTAGAATGCTACTGATGCAGTTAGTTAGTCTTGCTGGCTGTGTGACATGTACAATTGTACAATTATGCAATTGTTAGCTGCCGGCTAAACGAAGTCCCCTCAAACTTCCAGAACACAGGGGGTTTGTAGTATTGAATAATTATACCAACGAAATATTTTCACAAGAAAGTAGACCAGAGAAGACTAGAACAGAACAACAACTAGAGAACCACTGGAGCATGCGCTCTTCTATACGTGAGTGGCTCTCATTACTATGGTGAAGGAGCGGGAAACCCGAATAGTGAATATTGTATGGTCGTTGAATAAATACACCTATTACACATTTAAGTATGATAGAAAGAATTCATGACTGGCTTACTCTTTTGCTTTAGTTCCAGTGATCACTGTGATCTGTGTGAGTGGGTGTATGTTTGTGAACGATTGTATGTGTCTGTGTGTGAGTGTGTGAGTGTGTTAAAACAAATGACAAACATGAGGTGCAGGTAGGGAAAGCATGCACAACCTGAATCGAGGCAGGGGTGTTGAGGTTTAGGGAGCTCCGCCGACCTAGGGTCGTCTCGACTTCATGGCAACTTAAGATGCGTGTGTTTGTGTGTGTGTACATGTGTGTACGTGTGTATATGTGTGTGTATGTATACATGTGTGTATGTGTGTTTCTCTGTTTTCTCCACAGGTGTAGAGTCTACGTGCAATGATGAGACTCAGTAAGCTCTAGCCTGTTTTATAAATCAGTTTCCCAACAAGTTCTTAATCAACTGTAGTGTCATCAGTATTGTAAAGAGTACATACGCCTCCTGCATATACAATGTACCCTCCATAATTAGAGAAGCCGACACTGAAATTTGCGAGTTTCTGAATGTGCCAAATTTGGAGTATCACCCTAAACAGACTAGAATGATTCATGGACAGTATTGATAATAATAATAATAATAATAATAATAATAAAACAGGTCGCGTAATGAAGCAGCATAACGATAGATGTGCAAAGTCATGATGCCTGGTCCGCTTCTGTCCTGGGTTCACTACCCCGTGCGTTGCAGCCGCGAGCAAAACCAGCTCAGGCTGAGAGTTCCCTCCATGATTGCTTGTCCAAAGCGCGCATTCTGAGCCCACTCAGATCAGTCATGGTCTTCAGTGGCATGTCTCTGGCAGCTGTGCTTGCCTTGACTTGACTACAGTATTGATGCTGCTTTGAAAAATGGAAAGTTCTCAATTAAAGCAGCTTTCTATGCATCAATATGCCTTTCAGGAGATCCTCGTTTATTCTCGGAACTATGTTTTTTCACCCTGAACTGAATTATTTGACTCATTGAAGTATTGCAGCTGGTTTTCAGATGACGACTGACTGCCCGTGGCAGAACACTGAGATATCTGTAGCTCTGGTTTCTGATGGTGTATCGGGCAACTGAGGAAAGTTGGGTAGATTGTCAAAGAGCGAAGTGGAAAACAGTAGGATAGTACACCCATACTTGTAATGTCCGCCCAGTCCGGGTCCGCTCACTGCCAAGTGACTTTGACGTGTCCAGAACTCTGTATCACATTCGATGCTATGCAGGGCCAGAAATGTGGCAAATGATGTCTCTATTTCCATGACAACTTGCATCAGCAAACCTAGGCCACCCGGATGCCTTATAGACTTGGGTGCAGTCACCTCTATGTCTGCTGCACTAAAGAGATATTGGTGTACATGTTCAACTCAGGGTTGCTGGCATGATATTACTAAATCCAGCTGAAGGAGAAGTGTAACTGAAATATGTACGCCCACTATTATGTCTCCTTTACTCACTTCTCTCGAAGTGAATAAGCCAGTTCCACCGGGAAGGTAATTACATTACATGGGTGGGACAGCAAAAAGAAAGGAAAATGTATATAGCTAAAAACCAAAGGGACAAGAAATAGGGGAAGGAAGAGAAAGAAAGGAATGAACCTCAATCCGAACTTCAATATCAAAATAATAATAAAAAATTTGCCACAACAGGCATTCTACAAGTGATAACAGTGGTGGGATTGATCAAAGCTCGAAACTTGGTGAGAAAACATAAGTATGATATCGAATGGGATACGTTATGATAATTATTGCATGTTGATATGTCCACTGTAAAACCATTATTGTCGGAACACATGATGTCTTGACTTGGACAGTTGGCTCACTATCGTGTCTACAGGGCAACAATTTCTGAGATTTCACTAAAAGGTATACATACCAAACTTGGCTGCTCATGCACGAGCAAGAGCAGTCCTAGTATTAGGTCATAATGTTTACATCTCCCAAAGCATTTGTAGTGCAGCACTGGAAAACTCGTTAAGTGCCAAAAAAATTGTGATCAAGGTTCAAACTGAAAGAACTCTTTAAGCTGAAGCAGACATGGTGTCAACTAGAAATTGGCCAAAATGGATTTGACACGTTTTGAATTCCAGCTGTTGATATTTAGAGAAGAAAATGTCCCAACTCCTCAAACATCAAGTGTGGTCATAATTGTTTTCTATTTTCTTACCGTTGTACTTCATCACTAGAATGGCCGTGCTGAACAGAAAGGAGGAGGAAGTTGAAGACGTTCTGAGCAGCGGTGGTGACCTCCAGGGCAGCTTGTCCAGTCAAGCCAACAGCCAGGTACACGTGCGTGTGTTTGATCCGGAGGAGACTAGCCGCAAGGACCAGCTACAGTGTGCGCAAAGTGTCAGTGATGAAGGTTAGTGTTCTTATTTTCTGCTATTTCTTCAGTGTTCCTGTTTGCGTGTAGCGTTCTACCTTGATACGATGATGAGTTGGCCAAACAGCTATACTATGAAATGTATAGGGTGTTAAACAGCGTAATGTTGCCCTCATTTTATGGATGTGTGGGTGTTACACGCACACACACACACGCACACGCAAGCAAAAGTTCTTCTGTGGGTACAGCAGCAACAGCAAGAAATATTTTCTCTAGCATAGCACGTTTTGTCTGGATCAGAAGTTCTTTCTCTGCTGCTCAACCAGTAAAATTAATGACACGATTGTTCGATTCACATTCTCATATGTGTTTCATTCTGCACAGACAGGGACCGGATTTCGGATACTTGGAGTGCCGCTGCCTCCATTGAATCATAGTAAGTCTGAAAGATGTTATGCAAGTGACGTGGTGAAAGGGGATTTACTTATATCTTCGCTTCAAATCACCTCCAATTGGCTCGGTGCTAGTTGTCGCGGACCGCGCAATGAAATACATGAAAATGAATTATGAAAAAGCTAATTTGCATTTGCATTTTATGACGATAATCTTACTTTCTTACATTGTGGCTGGTTTCATGCTTGGGTAGCCGAGTTCTGGATTTTCCTTTCTACTGATTGTCTTCATTTCACTTTGAAGTAGCTTCGAAGGGATTCTTCGTTACTCTAGTTTTTGCATTTGGTTCACAAAAAAAATTTTCGTTTTCATACCGTGAGTACTTGTGTGCTCTTTTTCTTTTTTTCTCACGCGTGACTTTCCTTTCCGTTCCTTTTGTTATGTATGACAATGATGAGGTAGAGGTATGACGTATTTGTGTACGTGATCGCGTGACTACGTGTTTACTAACTAGATACTCACCCCCACCGTTAGGCGCTGCATCTGCCGCTAGGATTTATCGGGTGTTAGCGGCCGTCGTGAGGTCCCTTCGGGAACGGACACGATAATTTCTTGCAAAACTAGAAACAGTAGGCCAGTGCACTTTAGCCATTCGCTCTCTTTGCTGTTCTTCTCCGTTTCAATTTTGTCGCTGCACTAGTTCCTTTTTCCACCTTTCCACATTGATGAAAGTTGTGTTCGCAATTGTAATGCATGATCTCTGTGCGCAGCTGCCTGTACATACAGCTGCCTTTTCCCATCCAATTTTGATCTTGTTTGAAAAAGAAAAGAAAAAATCTTCCTAATAAAGAAACCTTGCTGTAAATTTATGTCTTTATGTCTGTTGGTTCGGGATGCAATGACGGCGCGAGTCCCGCCACTGATTTGCCCGTAAAGGGTGTGCGACGCAGCCTTTTGTGGGTTCCAGCAACAGCTGCGTCCCACATGCTAATGTGTGAGTTTTTAAGTATGAACAAAATGTTGAACTGTAGCTGCCGGGATGATGAGTACACCATACTGGTAGAACATTGCTGGCCATAAGCCAGGGTCCCTGGTTTGATTCCTGCTGAAAATCTTTGCTTTGAAAGCCCTCAAACTTATGCATACTTCTCCATTAAGAAAATATATTATGTGAGCTAGTCGGAGGGAAACAAATTAGCACAATAAGAGACAAAGCCATTCCTAAATCTGATGAGACCTTTCGTGCCACTACTTCTCAAATCAGTACGTTTTGATGATGTGACGAAGCACACCGCTGTCAATTTATATAGCATATTGGTAGAATTTTTGCGAAACGTACAGAGGCTGAATGATGGTGCGAGTTGCGCCAAAGAATACAAGAACTATAACAGGAAGCAAGGTCCAAGAAGCACTTGCTTCCTAACAAACTCTTTCTGTCTACAGAGCTGCGGATGTAGCTTTGCAATGTAAACCGCCTCTAGCATATCTAGAGAACGCGGATGCACCACTGTAATCCATTTGATCCTCAAAAACTGTGGGTGTTGAAGTTGTGGTGTAATTAAGATTTTTCTTCCATAAATGTGGCCATGATCACTTTAATAAAAGTCATAAAAAGTCATAAATTTGTCTAAATATATTCTTAAATATATTCTTTCTCTTTCTCTCTCTCTCTCACACACACACACTCTCTCTGTGTCTGTCTGTCTGTCTGTCTATTTGTCT